GAGGCTACTGAAATCCGTTGACACAGACAATAAATGGATACTCTATCACTGTAAAAATTCAAAGTCAACAATGAAATTAAGATGCCCCCTTAAGGATTCTTTCCCAAACTGCTCTTCGGTTGGTATGTAAACCTCAAATATTATAGAGACATATACATATAACTCGTGGAAAGACAGTGTTTCAGTTTTTTTAAAACACAAACTAAAATTGCAATAATGTATGTATTTAACTAAAAATAGGATAATATATATATATTCTTTAGTAGTTTGTTTTCCATCCAATTATTATTTTTAAAGATTTATTTTTTATTGCAAAATCAGATATACACAGGAAGAAGAGAGACAAGAGAGAAAGATCTTCCATTTGATGATTTACTCCCCAAGTGACTGCAACAGCCGGTGTTGCGCCAATTCGAAGCCAGATCCAGGAACTTCTTCCGGATCTCCCACGCGGGTGCAGGGTCCCAAGGCTTTGGACCGTCCTCGACTCCTTTCCCAGGCCACAAGCAGGGAGCTGGAGGGGAAGTGGAGCTGCTAGGATTAGAACCGGTGCCCATATGGGATTCTGGGGCATTCAAGATGAGGACTTCAGCCGCTAGGCCATGCTGCTGGGCCCTTTCCATCCAATTAAATGGTAGAGAATCTCACCAAGTCTATACATTTGAATGTAATTTTTTTTTATTTGCTGTGCATTTTATTTATTTAATCCATACTGCTAGACATGACTGATATCTTCTCTCATGAAATGAAGAGGTGGTGGGTTAAAGGGTAAACTCCAGGCTTTTATATTTCAACAGCCAAAAAATCAGAAGAAATGTTAATGATCCACATGGGTTGTTGACCTCTCACCGCACTAATAAGGACATAAGGAAAACAGTAATAATCAAACCTTTACATTCATCACTGTCATTTCTTAAGATAATTTAAAATGGGGCCCAGTGCAGTAGCCTAGTAGCTAAAGTCCTCATATTGCATGTGCCAGGATCCCATACAGACGCCAGTTCGTGTCCCAGTGGCCCTGCTTCCCATCCAGCTCCCTGCTTATGGTCTGGGAAAGCAGCCAAGGATGGTCCAAAGCCTTGGGACCCTGTACCCTTACAGGAGGCCCGGAAGAGGTCCCTGGCTCCTGGCTTTGGATTGGCTCAGCTCTGGCTGTTGAAGCCACCTGGGGAGTGAACCAGAGGACAGAAGTTCTTCTCTGTCCCTCTTTCTCTCTGTATATCTGACTTTCCAATAAAAATAAATAATTTTTTTTTAAAAATTATTTAAAATAGGTTAAAATGTTTGGTGATTGAAAAAGAAGTAAAAATATCTTGAAGATTTTTCAAGGGAGTTTTCAAGTATAGTAAGTACATGAAGTAATTTTCCTTGCTTTCTTTTTCTCAAATCCATTCATGGACAGATCTATACATACGTGTACACAAGTGGACAAATATACCCCATACAAACACATCTCATTGTTGGAAAGGATACTTTTGACATTATAAGGATGTATCTGTGTAAAAATGCACCCTGAGCATCACACCCCGGCCACTAGCCAGCCAGGAGTCTCCCCACCAGCTCTCTGGGTGGGAAATGAGAAGTCACAAAGCATGCTTCCCGTCATCCTACCTGCTTGTGGAAGAGCACAGGTCTCAGCTGTCACTCTGGTCCCTACTCCAGGGTTGGGACCTGTGCTCACCATGAAAACAAGCATGAGATTTTTGCATACATACACACAGACAGATACGAGTGTGTTTGTTGGAGGGGGAAGGGTTTATAACTTTTGCTAAGTTTCTTGCTTTTGCTTCAGAGAAATGACCTAGTGGCTGGCCTAGGTGTCCCTTACAATGCTTCCTCTGGGTCTTTTTCTTGGAGATGTAGTTTAACAGGTGCATGTCTGAGTTCCTTCTTCTCACCTTAACGACCTTCTCATCAAAAACAAAAATATGCTCCTCTACCAACTATTCATAAGGGCTTTTCATTTTTTTTTTTTTTAATTTTGAAGTACAGGAAGGAAAAGGCAGAGTGATGCCCATGTTGAAAACTGACAGGCAGAAGCAGCTGGGGACAGTGAACCGCACAGGAGCAGATAAAAAGCCTAAGGGAAGACAGACTAGATGGGCAAAAGAAATACACAACACTCTTGAAACACAGGGGGACAGAGAACTGAGCAGAGAGGGGCAGGCTGACAGAGAAAGAGACAGACTAGCGGGGAGAACAAGGAACGTGACTGACAGAGAGGCAGGCAAGATCAGCGGCAGGCTGCAGATAAGTGAAAAGAAAGGAGAGAGAGAGAAAGAGAGAGGAGGACAGATAAAGAAAACACCGAGGTAAGAAGGAAGACAAAGTGATAATAGTGTTTTCCGTAGCAGTGTTTTATAATTTATAAAGTGCTATCACATACACTACTGCAGGCAGACAGATGGGGTGATGGAGGGATATAGGCCAATCAGACAGGAAGACAGGGGCGGTGGCCAATCAGAAAGAAGGCTAGAATGGAGCTCAAGACAGAGAAGAGGGAAGACAAGAAGATAGAAGTGAGACAGGAAAAGACACACACACACACACAGGCTGAAGTAGTGAAATTCAGGAATACTGGCAGTGGAAAAGCAGAAATGAAAGGACAGGGCATTGTGTGTGTAAGTTTTGTCACCATTTTTTCTCAGAGCCTTGGTTAGAGGCTACGTCTTTGTCTCGTCTGAAGTGTTCCACTGGCTCTAAGGTGGCGCAGAAGATGAGCCAGGGGGTAAGAAAGCAGTAGTAAGAAGCCAAACTTCCTGGGCAGGCTAAGGTAATGCCCTAAAAGGACAGAGATGCCCAGGCCTTGCAAGGACTCACCCAGGCCAGGCGGGGAAGAGTGGTTGGGCTGGTGGCGGTTCTGGCCAAGCTAAACTCTGCTGACAGCCTCTGCAACCTTGCTCTCTCCATCTGTACCACAGTGGAGTGCCCACACACGCCAGGCTCTCAGGTCATTTTTTTTTTTCACAAATAGTTCTATAATGAAAAGACCAACCAAGGTGAGCCGTCACCAGGGCTGTTCACCATGCAGAACGGAAAAGGCGGATAGGAAAGACACAAGTACTCTCTTCCAGCCCTGGTAATAAATGCATGCAACCAGCAACCGTTCAATCAGAACACAGGTGCCACGGGGAAACACGGAAAAGCCATGGGGCAAAGGAGGGAAAGCCATCTGCTTCAGGACAGAGTTCTACCAGGCAGGACCGGGAGAGAAGCAGGAAGGGGCCCAGCCAAACCCCAGCAGACACGGCTATGTGTGGAGCCAAGGAAAGTTCTGTCGCTGCTGTCCCCGGGGAGAGGAACACAGAGTGGGGAGGAGACGGCCGCAGGACAAGGCCAGCTTTTCCCAGGATTCTGTTTGCACTTTAAAGATTGTAGACCATGGGGATGCCCTCCTACCAATTTAAGATGACTGAGATTGAAGGTGGGGGGAAAAAACAGGGATGTGGACAGCAAGAATCTTCCAGGCAAATAGTCAGCCAAAAAAGCAGGAAGCTGGTGAGAGACAGGGAGAACAGCAAAAGATTGTAGTGGCAGACTGCCTGAGGTATCCCAAAGACGGAAAGAAAAGGGTGTCCCACCACAGAGGTAAGCATCAGAGGAGGCAGGGCAAGGGGCACAGGGTCACTTAGGAGACAGATTACTCCCCAGTGATGGGATGTTGGTAGGGGGGAAGCCAAGGAGGCAGACATATGGGAAGACTGCAAAGAAACAAGTGCTCACCAGTGGGTTGGATGGTGGCAAGCCAAGTCAGGGAGACAGGTAAGAAGACAGACCCAAAAGGAGCCAAGGCCGAGTGATGAACTTGAGTATGGCTAAGAGAGGGACAAGCAAAAAGGTATAAATCAGAGGCAACCCAAGATGGGGTGCCAGCGTGGGGCCTGGAAGGTAAATAAACCAAGAAGACGCAGGCTGCAAAAGTGATAGAGCCAGGCAGGCGAGGAGACAGATGGCTAGAGAGAGAGAGGTGGGCAAACAGCCAGAGAAACAGACAGACAACCAGAGACCGAGGGAGGGAGGCTGCCAGCCAGGCAGGGGAAGGGCAGACGGGTAGGCAGACAGACCCCAGAACAGGGGCAAGCAGGTAGGTAGGCAGGTGGAGCCCAGGAGAGGTCAGCCTGGAGTGCTAGCAGGGCAAGGGGAGGGAGGCCCAGGCTAAGCGGCCAATCCATGGGCAGAACACACTCGCCAGAGGACCTGACGAAAGGCTGCCCACACCTGCAGATCCCGCTATGCGTGACAGGCAGGGGTGAGGGCATCGGGGTAGGGAGCTTGTGGCGCATGCTGCGCACAACGTGGCCCACACCTCCAGGGAGACACTCTTCCCAGTTACAGTATGAGCCACAGACACACACACACACACACACACACACACACACACACACACACAGGACCAGGAAGAGGGGGAGTCGGGCATCCATGAGGAAGAGCCACAGGCAGTCAGAGCTCAGAAGACAGGCGTCAACATGAGACTGAGAAGGAATGGCATGGAAGAGGTGATGAAGGCCGAGTCCAAGGGCTGAGACTCGTTTCGGGAGGGGAACATTACACACACACAGATGGAAGGAGAACTCAAATGGAACTAGTGAAGACTAGAAAAAGAACAAACTTGAACCGGAGAGGAAGAGAAGTTAGACTCAGGACAGGAATGACAGGGGAGTAGAGGCAGGAGAAAAAAAAAATTTTAAAAGGCTAGATTAAAAAAAAAAAAAAAACCCCAACTAAGAAACATGGAGAGTCAACCAGTAAATACACTAGCAGGAGGGTGGGACACCATCAAAGAACTTCTGGACTCCTAGCCATGATTCCGCATCAGACCCCCTTGGCATGCCGCCCATCCCTCCGCCCTGACGGTGCTGTGGGACACTGCAGCAGCTCCACTCGACACAGAGAGGAACAACCCACACATCAACCGTGGCCCTAGCTTGCTCCAGGATAGGAAGCCATAGAAAGTGGGACCCAAAGAATGGGGGAACATCAGTCAGGGAAGAGGAGATGGGTAGGCCAGAGGGGAGGACTAAGCAACTGGCCCTCCTTCCTAGGGCTCCACTGGCAGGCAAAGTCTACTTTATGTCCACAGCTCTTTCGAATCACCTCTCTACCACTCTGGGATTCTTTGCCAGCCGTCCAGTTGATCTTGGGGACCACCTGAAGGTAAACACTGGGGTACTTGCAAATCACAGTCAAAAGTTAGATCCTCGATAATGGAGCAAGATCCCTACCTCTTTTTTTTTTTTTTTTCCTCAGTCCCAGTTACTTTTCTCTGTCATGAGAGCTCAGTTTCTTCTACTTTATCAACGTTGGAGATCATGCAGGAAGAAGGAATAAACTGAAAGGGAAGAAACAGAAAATCATGTCACCATCTTTAGGCAGGACTTCTTTCCTTTTTATGCTTAAAAATCCAGTCTAGTCACCCCACAAATTAATCGCTCAAGTCAGATGAATTTTACAACTGAGCAACGGGAGAGGGAGGGAAGGACACGGGAAGGAATGGGGGGGGAACAGAGAAGATCAAATTTATAGCAATTATAAATCACGGAAAAGCTGAGCGAAAGGGAGAATCAAACATGGACTCCTTTGAAAAAAAACTCAATCATCATATCTATTCATATCTCTCCCCCAAAAGTCACTAGGGCTTTTTTGTCACTTTTTTTTTTTTAAAGAAACAAGGGGGGAAAAAAATCCAGTACCGCTTCTAATTTAAAAGATACGTCTACGATTAAATGCGTTTTGATTTCAATGAGGTATGTAGAAACAGAGTTATATGTAAACATATATTTCATCTTTTTCCTTTTCAATGCCTGAAGGGGAAAAGAAAAAAAAAACCCTTCACATCAAACCACTCCCTTCTGAAGTATTCAAAAAAAAAAAAAGCTTTTCTTTAGAGAAGGGAGGTGGGGAGGAAGAGACCAGTAAAGAAAAGAAAAAAAAAAATAAATCTAGTTGTACTAGTATCTAACTAGTTAACCTTTAACAATTTATGCTGATGTCAGACTGAGCATGAGTACTGATTAATGCCCCCCCTCAAATATTTTTATGAGGGGGGAGTCAGTCACAGCAGCCATTTTTGTTTTATGCAGAAATCCTTCATGCCCCCCCATCACACACACACTCACACATACACACTTCAGTACACAAGGAAAATATCTCTATTAATCTGTTCACTAATCAGTTATGAAAAAAGGGAGAAATTTGTGGATTTCTGGGTAGAGGCTTGGAGATGGGGGTACAACAGAGAGGAGAAAGGGGGGGTGAAAAATGAAATATTAAGACAGCCATTTTGTTTAAAAGGGGACTTTCCCCCCCTTTCTTTCTTTATGGAGGGGGTGGCGGTCCTGGAGGGGGGGTTGTTTTAAAAATAATTTCAAGGCGGCCATCTTAGTGCCTCAGCTCTGTGAAATATTTCTGAGCGCCCCCCTCAGAATTTAAATATATTTAAAGCTACGGGGGGGGGTGAGAGAAGTCGAAAACTTTTATATATATATATATATATACATACATTTTTTAAAAATTCCTCTTTCTTGTGCTCTTGAGAGAAAAGAAAGAAGGAAAAAAGTCTCTCAATTTTTTTTCCAAGAAAATTTTAAGGGCTGGTTTGGCCCCCCTCCTCAGACGGCCGCCCCGAGGGTGGGGGTTTTGGAGGGGGGGTGGCCCAGGGGTTTGGGGGGCTGGGGGAGGCGGTGAGGAGGAGGACGCTGCCGCCGAAGAGGAGGAGGAGGAGGAGGAGGAGGAGGTGGTGGTGGTAGCGGTGGGGGAGGCGGGCGGGCGGTGGGTGGGGGGGTGGTGGGGGGGCCAGAGCCACAGGATGGCTTCCCCTCTGAGGGACGAGGAGGAGGAGGAGGAGGAGATGGTGGTGTCGGAGGAGGAAGAAGAGGAGGAAGAAGAGGGCGACGAGGAGGAGGAGGAGGTGGAGGCGGCCGACGAAGACGATGAGGAGGACGACGACGAGGGAGTACTCGGGCGCGGGCCGGGCCACGACCGGGGCCGCGACCGCCACAGCCCCCCCGGCTGCCACCTCTTCCCGCCGCCGCCGCCGCCACCGCCGCCACCGCCACCGCCGCTGCCCCCGCCGCCGCCCCCGCCGCCAGGTAAGCGGCCGCCCCGACTCCCCCGCCCCAGCCCGAGTGGGAGCCGCGGGCGCGCCAAGAGCCGGCGGGGGGCGAGGCACCCACCGCGCGGCCGAGCCGAGGCGAATCCGGGGCGCGGGGTGCCGTCTCGGGCCGGGCGGTCCCGGGCGGTCCCGGGCGGTCCGAGCGGTCCCGGGCGGGCGGCGGCGACGGCCGCCGAGCCAGGCCTCCTCCCCTCCCCCGCCGCACCCCTCCCCCGCCGCCGCCGCCCGGGCTGGAGAGCGCTGGGCGCGAGCTGCGCGCGCGGACCGGGCCACCACTTGGTCGCGGCTTTCGGGAGAGGAGGAGGAGATTTTTTTTTTTTTTTTTTTTTTTTTACTCTCGGCGGGGAGGGGGTAGGCAGGAAACGGCCGAGGTGAACCGAGGCCCCCCTCCCTGGCCGAGCGAGGGACCGCGGAGACCCTGGCGGCCGGACGGCGGCGTGGGGGAGGGGCGCGTGGGGGAGGGGCGGTCGCGGGAGCTGCCCCTGGGGTCCCGGCCCCGGTGGGGCTGGACTGAGGGAGAGTGGGCTTTGCTTGAGTGGAGCAGACCGCTGCTTCGGGCCTCTCTGGTCAGGATTTGGGCAGAGTTTGGGGGGGCAGATCATGTCCTTAGGACCCTCACCCCCCCGCACACACACTCCACCTGCAGGGACTTAGCTGCTCGCCAACTCCGGGGTGTGCGGTGGCACGCGGGGTGGGGTCGGCGTGAGTGTTTGCGGGCGGCTGAGACCCTACGGGCAGGTGGTGTCCACTCCACTTCCTGGAGTCAGACTACTTAACTCGGCCCCTCCAACTCCAAGATTAGGGAAGAGCAGTATCCCTTAAGAGAGGGAGCGAGGGGGAGGGTGTCTTAGCCGTGCTTTGGGCTCTTTTGTGTCAGGTGCGGGGGCAGGGGGTGGGGGGAGTCCCCTCCCCCCCATGACCCTGTCTGTCTGGCGTGGCTGAACTACCCAGCTGTGACTCTCACGTGGCTGCCACTCACTGTCACTCATTCTCACTCCAACCACCCTACACCCTGACCGCATCTGGGAGGTTGTAAATTGCCCACCCAGCTGTGCTGCAGCTTGACCAGGACTGGCACACACCCCCAGAGTGCCAAGTCACCTGGCACAGCACGGCTGGAGGGGACAGACTGCTGCCTGTTGCAGCAAGCACCCCGCAGTGACCCCACCCCTCCCGCAGTGACTTCTAAGCTTTAGGGTAGGTGAGCTTCTTGGTGGCCTTGGCCCGAGGATTTGAAGAATGAGATGGGACAGCCAGGCAGGCCCCAGGCCTCTGGCAGACAAACAGATGCACTCAACTTCTAGACATGACCTCGTGATGTTTGTAACGCTGTCATATTGATTGGTGTGGCGTATGTGGCAAAGGTTCCTATATAATGGAAACCACTTTTGAGGGAATATGGGGCTGCTATCCTGGTGGGGCCAGGTTGAAGGGAGAACAAGTATTTCTGCTAGAAACTCAGTTAAGACTCCTATTCCGCAAACTCAGTAAAGACTGACATTCTGAAGGCTGGTCTGAAGAAGGGGAAAGTTTTGCAAAAGTTATTCCAGAGAGCCTGCTGCTTTCCCCACAGGAAAAAAGAAATAAAGAAAAGTGGGGAGAGGGTTGCCCATAGGGTTGCCTGCAGCAGGGGTGCTAAAAAGAGGACTAGGGGGTGGCAGGTTCTGAAAGGGGGTGACAGCTCTCACCTATCTGTGTCCCACAGTCGGAATCAGATATCTGCGTGATTTTGATCCTTGATCTCAGAACGAGGCAGCGGAGGTGGGGGGGAGGGACAGGGAGAGAGAGAAAGCGTGAAAGAACCTAAGATTGAGATGGGTCTTTGTGTCAGCCCTCCCTCCCCTTTTCTCGCTTTGCTGTTTGAAGAACCCAGCAACGGCAGGCGCTTGAGATTTTTCATATTTAAAATGAAACCCCTCCCTTCTCACCCAGGACTATTTTTCTCTATTTCCACCCTGCAAGTCAAACGAGTGACCCAGATACCCGCCCCTCCCCCTTTCAGATAACTGTCCGAGGTAAAACTTTGGGGAAATATTTTTAGCTTGCTCATTATTTCTGCCTACCTAAGTGTTGAGGGGGTGGTGAATAACCCTCCTCTAAGGAAATTCGTCCTGGTTGCTTTCCCCCCCATCCTTTTCTAGAACCTGAATTTGTACAGATCCGAGGTTTCTATTGTTTTTCATCCCCACTGCTCTGATTCCTCACCATTTTGTTTCACATTCTTACCCAAGACCAATTTTATCCCTTCCCCCTCTCTCCAGCCTCCTTACATTGTTAAACGTTTAAAATAATAGCACTCGTGTGGGTGGGGGAAGGGAGCAGGAAGCCCAAAACTCATTTCTTCTCCCTCCCCCTTCTGGCAAGTCTAGAGAAATAATATAACATAATATATAGATGTGATTCCTTTGGGGGGTGGGGGTGGGGAATGATTGTGGGTGGTGCGGAAAATTCTGGTAGTTTCTTTGCAAAAGGTCTGAAAATACAAACCCACCCCCTGCCTGCAGTACGCATGTGCAGCAGGCCTATTATGGTGGTGCGTTGTGGGGGGAGGGAGGGGAATTTGAGAAAAAATAAATATATGTGTGAGAGATTGATGGTGAGATTAGGAGAGAGGGGCGGGCTGGAGGCGAGGCTCCGGGGCCCAGACTCCTCCCGCTCGCCCGGCCGCCAGGCTCCGCCCCGGCCCCGCTCGGCGCCCGCCCTCCTCTCTCCCCGCCTTCCCGAGCTCCGAGCCGGGATGTGGGAGCGTCTGGGCGCCGGGCCAGCATCGAGTGGCTGCTGAGACAGAGGTTGGGACTTAAGATTGGCCCTTCTTCTCCCTCGCTCTCCTCGCCGTCCTCCTTGGCCTCTCGCCGCCGCCGACGTAGGCCCAAGTTCGGGAACCTCCCGCTGGGGTTGCGAGTGGCGTTAGCACGGGCTGCTGCGCAGGAGTCCAGCCCGGCCTCCCCTTCCCCGCCCCCGCGCCTGGGGGTGACCGAGGCCACTTCCCTGATCCTCAGCCAGCTTGGCCTGCCCTTGCCACTGCCCCAGCAGCCTTCGTTGTGTGTGTTCCTGTTAACCCCGGCCGGTCCCTGGAGGTAGGAGGAGCGGCTGCCTGGGGCATGGCGTCTCTCTGACTGCCTACTACAGCCACCCGATCGCTGCCAAAAAACACCCCACCACCCGCCCCAGTTTCTCCTGCGGCACCGGAGGACGCAGAATTCCGGAGTTAGGAAGAAAGGTAGCGCTGAAGGAAGGAGCTGGCAGGCTTCTGAGGCAATGGAAACGGTGGCCTCTTGTATTCGTTGTGGCACTTCCCCCTTGGCTGTGCTAGGAGGAAGAATTGTTGGAGCCAGGAGATGGGTCAGGCCCAGGCTTTCCTCTCCACGTCAGCTGTCTCTGGCCAAACAAGACAGGTCTGGCTGGTTAGTCTGGTGCTTAGAGGTGGCGGGGGATAAGCAGGTTCCATGTCTGTGTAGCATCCAGACTTGGTCTGCAGGGAACAACCAGCCTGCAGGCAAGCTCCCATGGACTGGCAGGGGGTATGGAGAATGGGGGTGAGATGGGGGTACATCTGAGAGGACCCTGCCCCAGGCCATCTGAAGAGAGAGCCAGGTCATCCTCTGCATTTGTGTACCTGAGGCGGGGGTGTGTATGTGTGCACATGCGTGCATTTCAGAGAGCGCGTGCTGGGCATGTCTGTGCCTGTGTGCAGGTGGGACTCCCTCACCGCATATAGCCAACAGCTCAGGATGTCTGAGATGAGATACAGCGGTGGACTAAAACCAGGGGACCAAGGCTAGGACTCCCAAGAGCTCAGAGGGCTTAGGCCTAGGGGCAGAGATATATGAAAGCAGGTCCTTGACTAGGTTGGGCAGAGGAAGTTTCCCTGGGAAGTTGGAAAGACTTGCTCCTGCTGTAACAGGCTGTGATGGAGGAGGCCAACGCTGAAGGCCCCTGTGGGCAAGTAGTGAAAATGACCAGCTGAGGATTTCCTTTCCTCTGGGACTGCATGTTAGGGTGACATTAGGGTGACGTGATGACTGCTGGTGATTACCCAGAGCAATGTAAATAGAAGCCTCCCTTTTGGCTAAAAAAAGACAGTCCGGGCCCCAGGGTGTTAGCGTGAGAAACCAGGTGTCCACCTTTGGCTCTCCCTTCTCAGCATCTGGCTCTGGGAGCTGCCAGCTTGTGTCTCCCCACTCCAAGTGCTGGGGTCAGGCCAGGCCAGCAGCTGGGCATGGCTTCCCCAGCTCCTGGGCAGGACGCCAGCTGGCGAAGTGAGGGGAAAGGCAGGAGGAGCCCTGGCGGCAACTCAAAGGACCTGCCACCATCAGAGCCCATGGCCTGGAGCCTGGTCCCTTGTTAGTAGGAGGGGCGAGAAGGGAGTGGCTTGGCTGCCTTTCCCTTCTGACCCCTGACCTCCTGTTCAGAACATCCCAGAGCCCTCGAAACACTGTTTGCTTCCAGCGAGGGGAGGCTAACTTTGCAGGCTTGGAGGCCTGAGTTCCTAGAGAGTGGAACCCAAAGGGGTTGGGGGATCCTAGAGGCCACGCGGAGGCTTAGGGGGCCCTGCTGCTCTTGGCTCCCCCAGACAAGGATGACATTCGACTGCTGCCTTCAGCTTTGGGTGTGAAGAAGAGAAAGCGCGGACCCAAGAAGCAGAAGGAAAATAAGCCGGGAAAACCCCGAAAACGCAAAAAGCTCGTAAGTGGCAGACCCAAGCTCTGTGGCAAGATCCAGGAGGCTTGGCCCCCAGAGACAGATGTTTTCTCTGGTCCTGGTTCTTGAGGGTTGGAGTTGGAATTGGGGGCTGTTGTGGAGGCACAGGCTTGGACACCCCACCCTCCCCCCCTCAAGCTGTTACTGGGATGCACCTGTACTCCAGCAAACCAAATCCAGAGCCTGGCAGCTCCCTGCCCTCCCGGGCAGCTGGAGGAGGTCGCTAGACCTCAGTGTCTTCCTGTGCATCAGAGCAGCTCTGAGGGTACACCGGAAGTGGTTAAAGGTGTCCTGCTTTCTTGAGCCTAGGATAGCGAGGAGGAATTCGGCTCAGAGCGAGATGAATACCGAGAGAAGTCAGAGAGTGGGGGCAGCGAATATGGAACCGGACCAGGTCGGAAGCGAAGGCGGAAGCACCGAGAAAAAAAGGAGAAGAAGACCAAGAGGCGGAAAAAGGGGGAAGGCGAGGCCGGGCAGAAGGTGAGTAGAGTTAGGGAGTAAGGGTGAGAAATGGACCTGAAGGCCTCTCAGTGGAGAGGGAAAGCCCCCGGGGGAGGGGAAGAGGTGTGGCTCCTGAGAAATGGGGCTGGCCAGGGGAGTGGAGAAAGCCAAGGAAAGTTGTTGAGTAGGGGGTGGGGGGTGGAGAGGCACCCCTAGGCCACCGGGTGGGGCCAGAGGACCACACAACTCACTGTCACCTGTCACTCCCAGCAGGTAGAACAGAAGTCCTCAGCGACCCTGCTGCTGACCTGGGGCCTGGAGGATGTGGAGCACGTGTTCTCCGAGGAGGACTACCACACACTCACCAACTACAAAGCTTTCAGCCAGTTCATGAGGTGCAGCAGGGCTGGGGCATTCTCTCCAATAGATCCAGCGTGGGGTGGCCGTGTCCCTGTGGGATCTGATCAAAGCTAAAGAAAGCATTCTTGAGAGAAATTCAAAACACATGCACACAACATTCACGTGTCATTTTAGGGAACCCTCATCCTCGGGAGAATCCCAGGATCCCAGTTGAGAACTCCTCACTGAGGGGGATATGGTCAGGGAGCTCATGATCCCAGGGACAGGCTGAAGACCTGACAAGGGTATTAGCATAGAGGAAGTTACCCAAGCAGGTGCATTTTCTCTAACATGACTTCTCTCTAGACCAGACCCACAGGGTCCCATCAGGATTCTTGAACTTTCTCAGTTATCCAGTCCCCTGCCCCTTCCATAGGGCCTGGTGCCATTGGAAGCTGTCCTGCTGGCAGCATTGGGGCTGGACTGCAGTGGCTGTGGTCCCAGTGGAGGAAATGAATAGTGAGGCTCAAGGGGAGGGGGCCCTTCAGCAGAGCAGCTCAGGGCCCTAGCAGCACACAAAATAGGATGGCACACGTGCAAGGGCAGGCAAGAGCAAACGGACCCCTTTCTGTTTGGTTTCCTGTACTTGCTAGCTGTTTGCTTCTTCAGAAACTTCTTTATTTATGGACATTTCAAATCAACATTTTTCCTAACAAGACATTTTCTCACCATGCAGGCATCCTCACTTAGACTCAGGGGAGATGGTGGGTTTTCCCAGACCATTTGTGAAAGTGTCCGGGTTTTCTGCTGCTGTACTCACAGGCCCCTAATTGCTAAGAAGAATCCGAAGATCCCGATGTCTAAGATGATGACCATTCTTGGGGCCAAATGGAGAGAGTTCAGTGCTAACAACCCCTTCAAAGGGTCAGCAGCTGCTGTGGCGGCAGCAGCAGCGGCAGCAGCAGCGGCCGTGGCTGAGCAGGTGTCAGCTGCCGTCTCATCAGCTACCCCCATTGCACCTTCCGGACCCCCTCCCCTCCCACCACCCCCTGCTGTCGATATCCAGCCACCACCCATCCGAAGAGCCAAGACCAAAGAGGGCAAAGGTGAGGAGTTTGTAGGGGGAAGAAGACTACGTCCCAGAGGTGCCCCAGGACCCTATGCCTCCTGGGGTCCTGGGGTCCCTTGTTACCTCCACTCCTCTCTCTTATGTAGGTCCAGGGCACAAGAGGCGGAGCAAGAGCCCCCGAGTGCCTGACGGCCGCAAGAAACTTCGGGGAAAGAAGATGGCACCCCTCAAAATCAAACTAGGTCTGCTGGGAGGCAAGAGGAAGAAGGGAGGCTCGGTGAGTACCCCTGACCGGGGGCTATTAAACAGTCCCAGGGACTGTGAGGGTGGCTGAAGTGGGAGCCAGAGGTCAGACAGGGAGCCCTGTGCGGGCTGCCCCACTGATGCTTGCAGGGCTCCGGACAGTACATTTTTCAGAGCGACGAGGGCCCTGAACCTGAGGCCGAGGAGTCAGACCTGGACAGTGGCAGTGTCCACAGTGCCTCAGGCCGGCCCGATGGCCCTGTCCGTGCCAAGAAGCTCAAGAGAGGACGTCCGGGAAGGAAGAAGAAGGGTACGGGAGTGGGCCGTGTGTGGGCTGTCGGTCAGCATTCCTCTCACCTCTGGCTGCCTTTGTTTCCAATTTTGACTTTTCTATTCTACCTCCTTCCCCCTCCTCCTCCTTTTCCCCCTCCTTTTCTTGGTTCCTCTTGTCCCCAACGGGGTATATGACAGTCCTGGGCTGTCCTGCAGTGGCCGGAGAGGAGGAGGTTGATGGCTATGAGACGGATCACCAGGATTACTGTGAGGTGTGCCAGCAGGGTGGGGAAATTATTCTGTGCGACACCTGCCCTCGTGCCTACCACCTCGTCTGCCTTGACCCTGAACTTGACCGGGCTCCTGAGGGCAAATGGAGCTGCCCCCACTGTGTGAGTACCTGATGTTCCCCAGAGACATGCCCCCCTCCACTTTAGCTTCATTCCTCCCCACCTCAGCGCCAGGAGCCCAGGCACACCAGGACCAGAGTTGCTGTACACAGAATCCTCTTGTGCACCTTGCCCACATCTCTTTGCCCCTGGAATCCACCCTTTGGGAAGCCGGGGGGGTGGGGTCCTATGTCTCTGTTCCCCCCAGCCAGTCCTCTCTGAACTTCTGGGATTTGGGTGGCCTGCCTGCTGCTGGCTTGCAGTCTCATTATATTTCTTCTATCTGTCTGTGTCTGCTCTTGCCCCTCCCCTCCCACCAGGAGAAGGAGGGGGTCCAGTGGGAGGCCAAGGAGGAAGAGGAAGAGTACGAAGAGGAGGGCGAGGAGGAGGGGGAGAAGGAGGAGGAGGATGACCACATGGAGTACTGCCGTGTGTGCAAGGACGGTGGGGAGCTCCTGTGCTGCGACGCGTGCATCTCCTCCTACCATATCCACTGCCTCAACCCCCCGCTGCCTGACATCCCAAACGGCGAGTGGCTGTGTCCCCGATGCACAGTGAGTGGGCCCACACCTTGAAGTGGATGGGCAGCCCAGACCTCCCCGCTTCATCCCTGAGGCCCAGATGGCCATGTCTCTTCTCTCCTATCCCTCCCCTAATGACAGGCTCTTCTGACCCATTTCTTTCTTCTTCTTCGTATGTGCCCATCCCAAGTGCCCTGTGCTGAAGGGTCGTGTGCAAAAGATCCTGCATTGGCGATGGGGCGAGCCACCTGTGGCAGTGCCTGCCCCCCAACAGGCAGATGGGAATCCAGACGTGCCGCCCCCCCGGCCCCTTCAAGGCAGATCAGAACGAGAGTTCTTTGTCAAGTGGGTGGGACTATCCTACTGGCACTGCTCCTGGGCCAAGGAGCTTCAGGTATGTGGGACGCTCCCCTGCCCCACTCCGAGACCCCGATTGCTGCTATTCCCCTCTCTCTTAGCCCCTGCCGTCAGGGCTGCCAGTCCCTTTGATGCTCTCATTTCAGGCCCGTGGCCTTCCCAGCCTGTCACACCTTGAGTTGCTGTGGCTCTCCTGATCTGCACACCTCGTTCTCCCTCCAGGGGCTTTATTCCCTTGGCTATAACAGTCTCTCGTAACTTCATCCCTTCGTTTGCCTGTCTCTTTCCATATTATATCCATCTCGCCAGTCTCAGTAATCACTGCTCCTTCCCAACCACACCCACACACACACACTGCAGCCTTCCTTCTTCTATTTGCCCATTACAGCCCCACAGGACAGGTCCCCAGGTCCTGTCCTGACTCTGGTCTGTCGGTTCCAGTTTATTCATTCTCCTGCCTCGGCTTTGACTTTCTCATCCAGCCTCTTCCCTACCCCTTTGCCCCTGCTGGCCTCTGCCGTCTTCTGTTCTCTTTGGATGTGATGTGGGAACAGGCTGTTCCCTCTTTTTCTGTGTCCCATCAGCTGGAAATCTTCCACTTGGTAATGTACCGGAACTATCAGCGGAAGAATGACATGGATGAGCCCCCACCCCTGGACTACGGCTCTGGGGAGGATGATGGGAAGAGTGACAAGCGTAAGGTGAAAGACCCACACTATGCCGAGATGGAGGAGAAGTACTACCGCTTCGGCATCAAGCCTGAGTGGATGACCGTCCACCGGATCGTTAACCACAGGTGCACTCTTGCCCCAGGGCAGGCCGACCCCAGTGACAGGAGTCTCACTGTAGGGACTGGCAGGCCCTGGCTTCACATCTGCTGAGGAATCCAAGTTATCAGCAGAAACCTTGATCACTCCTGCTGCAGCTGCGTCTCTCTGGCCCCACTTCTAGGGCATAGAAAAGGCCAGGAAAAAGATCCATCCCATGGCTGCCTCTTGCCTCTCTTGTTGTCTTTTTTTTTTTTTCCTAAGTTTTATTTATTTGAAAGAATGACGGAGAGAGGTCTTCTTCCATCTACTGTTTCTTCATATGGCCATTATGGCCAAGGCTGGGCCAGGCTGAAGCCAGGAACCTGGAACTGCATTTGGGTCTCCCTATGGGTGGCAGGCGCCTGTGTACTTGGGCCGTCTTCTGCTCTTTGCCAGGTGCATTAGCAGAGACCCTGAAACAGTGCTCTGGAGGGTATGCTGGCATCTCAGGTAGCAGCTTCACACTCTGCACCACACCACCCATCAGCCCTTTCTTGTGTCTTTGTTGCTCTTCTCTCCCGTGGCATGAGATGCCCACGTCTGGGTTTGGGGGCTTGAAAGCCAAATGGGATAACCCTGGTCACTCGAGGTCGGTGTATTTAAATTCACCACTACTTAGCATTATGGCCTGTGTTTTCATGGACATGTAGATCCCATTCCTGCCTTCCTCCAAGAAACCAGGAACCCTGAGAGAAAATAGGCTTAGTTGTCACTCAGGGCTGACTCGCCAGTGCCTGGAACAGCAGCTGGCACAGAATAGGTAGATGTTTGGGAAATACCTCCAGGCTGGATGAGCAGGTGACATTGGAGAGATCCCCAGGCTTGTGATTGTTGGATTTTAGGATGCCATCCTGAGACGCTGGGGCTGATGTGTTTGCCATTCTCGCCTCTCTTCCAAGGGCCTGCGCAAGGGCTGTGTATGTGTGTGTCTGCTGATAGTTGTTTGTTAGAATCTGTTTGTGACCCACATTCTTTCTCTTCCGGGCCTCCTGCCCTACAGCGTGGATAAAAAGGGGAATTACCACTATCTGGTGAAATGGAGGGACTTGCCCTATGACCAGTCCACATGGGAGGAAGATGAAATGAACATCCCTGAATATGAAGACCATAAGCAAAGCTACTGGAGACACCGGTGAGGGGGATCAGGATGTGGATTAGAGGGAGGGTTCTAGAAGCTAAGCTTCCAGCATAAACCAAGGGTGCAGTTGGGAGGGACATGACCCTGAGTGTAAGCCTGAGCTGAGTGCTAGGGGTGCTAACGAGGCAGGATAAGGGAAACTCTGGCCTGACAGTGGATGAGAAGATGCTCATGGAGGGGGATGCTGGGCCAAAGGAGTGAAGGTGCAGAGCTGGTAGAGAGGAAGATGACAGGATGTAGCTCTAGGATGGAGTCAGAAAAGAGAAGCCTTATCTCAGACTCGCTCTTTTCCCAGAGAACTGATCATGGGCGAGGACCCTGCCCAGCCCCGCAAGTACAAGAAGAAGAAAAAGGAGCTGCAAGGGGACGGGCCTCCTAGTTCTCCTACTAATGACGTAAGTTCCTCCTCCCAGCCAGCCTCTCCCTGGGGGCCACTGACAAGACTCCCTAGAACTTCCACACACAGCCTCTTGGAACCACAGCTCTTCCTTCAGCATCTCCCCTAGCCCTGACAGTGGTGAGGAATTTCAGCAGACGAGTGAGAGAGACACTAGATAGAGCAGCCAACAAGTGGCGTTTTATGACTGGCCTGCCCTCCCCATGGTGCTGCTGGGCTTTGCGTTAAGGAGTGAGGGGATGGGGCAGAAGACTTACTGGCCCATAGCAGAGGGAATTCTAATTCAGCTTGCTGTTTGGACCGGGCATGGAGAAGGGGTGCCAAGATCAGAGATGTGGCAGACGGTCCTATTGAGCCTTCTGATCTCTCGGTTCCACAGCCTACCGTGAAATACGAGACTCAACCACGCTTCATCACAGCCACTGGCGGCACGCTGCACATGTACCAGCTGGAGGGGCTCAACTGGCTGCGCTTCTCCTGGGCCCAGGGCACCGACACCATCCTGGCTGATGAAATGGGGCTGGGCAAGACCATACAGACCATCGTCTTTCTCTACTCACTCTATAAGGAGGTGCTAGATTCTAGCCCCTGAGGAGGGTGGCTGGGCTGAGGCCCAGTGGGCATGGGCTGGGATGTGGCCAGAAGGCAATGAGCAGGGACTGGAATAGTGCAATGTTAACAGGCCCCCTACCCTTGATGTCCAGGGCCACACTAAAGGTCCCTTCCTGGTGAGCGCCCCACTTTCTACCATCATTAACTGGGAGCGGGAGTTCCAGATGTGGGCCCCCAAGTTCTACGTGGTGACGTACACGGGTGACAAGGACAGCCGGGCCATCATCCGTGAGAATGAGTTTTCTTTTGAGGACAATGCCATAAAGGGAGGCAAGAAAGCTTTTAAGATGAAGGTGAGTGTTCCACGTTACAGCCCCCGGGACCCTCAAACTGCATTCCTTTGCCCTAGTCAGGAATTCAGTTCCATTGACCCCAGCTTACCTTCCCCTCCCCCACATTCCTCCACCTGCAGTCGTGTCTGTCCTGCTCCCTTCCTGGAGCTGTGGCAGGTACCCCCAGCAGGTTGCGTGGGTCTGTCAGCACTGGGCCTATCGGAGAAGTATGGGGTCAATAGCAAATGCTTGGAGTTGAACTTGGAGAATAGGTGTAAGCCAACTTCCTTTGGGAATCCCAGACAGGATAGGCGTCTGGTTAAAGCATGGGAGCTGGAGGGTCAGGTGGCAGCAGCACATAAGCAATGGTTGTGTTGGCAGAGGGAGGCCCAGGTGAAGTTCCACGTCCTCCTGACATCGTATGAGCTGATCACCATCGATCAGGCAGCTCTTGGCTCCATCCGCTGGGCCTGCCTTGTGGTGGACGAGGCCCATCGACTGAAGAACAACCAGTCCAAGGTGAGGGAGCATCCCAGGCCAGAAGGGCTTGAGGCCATGGGCACCCCCACCCTGGCCATACAAATAGCAGCTCTGTGTGCTTAGGTGGCTCAGTGCAGAAGGCGGGTCACCCGGCAGCTCCCTGGGGTGAGGGCTAGGACACAGGTGACATGGAGCTGGGGACGGAGTGACCGCTAGTGGAGGACAGCCACTTGCACTGTTTAAACCCATTCTCTTGCCTTCCTTTGCCCCATTTCCTAGTTTTTCAGAGTCCTGAATGGCTACAAAATAGATCATAAGTTGTTGCTGACAGGGACCCCACTGCAGAATAATCTGGAGGAGCTCTTCCATCTGCTGAACTTCCTCACCCCAGAGAGGTTTAAGTAAGTAGCTCATCAAGGGAGGGCTCGGCCACGAGAGGCCAAATGACCAAGAAGAGCTGGTGGAGGATGGACCCTGAAGTTGGAGGCAAAGAACTTGACAACTTGCTCATTCATGTCCTTTCCTGCTGGCTGCTAGCAACTTGGAAGGCTTCCTGGAGGAGTTTGCTGACATATCCAAAGAGGACCAGATTAAGAAACTGCATGACTTGCTGGGGCCACACATGCTGCGGCGGCTGAAGGCGGACGTGTTTAAGAACATGCCAGCCAAGACGGAGCTCATCGTGCGGGTGGAGCTGAGTCCCATGCAGAAGTGAGCTACCGGGCGGGCTGCTGGCCCGAGGGGCTGGGGACGCAGGGGTCACTCTCCAGGAGCTGGTGACTGAGTACCCTGTCCCAGTCGCTTCCCTTACTGCCTCCAGGAAATACTACAAGTACATCCTCACTCGAAATTTTGAGGCCTTGAACTCACGAGGTGGTGGGAACCAAGTGTCGCTGCTTAACATCATGATGGATCTTAAGAAGTGCTGTAACCACCCATACCTCTTTCCCGTGGCTGCTATGGTAATTACACAGAGCATGGCAAGAGGAGGGTTGCTGTGGTCCCCTGGGGTGTTGCTGAACTGGGAGACCCAGGACTGGACCCTGGATTAGCAGTCAGAGGGGTGGACATTGGGTTGGGGTGTCTGGCATTCCAGGCACTAGGAATGTGGGGGCACGTTTCCTGATCCTCTCCTCTCCCACTTATTTTCAGGAGTCCCCCAAGCTCCCCAGTGGGGCTTATGAGGGTGGGGCACTTATCAAGTCATCTGGGAAGCTAATGCTACTGCAGAAGATGCTGCGAAAGCTGAAGGAACAGGGCCACCGGGTGCTCATCTTCTCACAGGTAAGCAGCCATGAGCGTCTCTATTCCCGGTGCTCCCCAACCAGGCCTCAGCTTCTCAGCTGCCCATGCCCAGAGCACAGATGAGCAGGAAGCCCCTTCGTAATTGCTAGAGTTGCTAGTTAACTCCTAGTCTCCATCCTCCTGTGTCCAGCTTCTTTCACTCTGACTGGGTGGGGTGAGGCTGAACCGTCTGCCTACAGGTTGGGGAACTCTCTGGAAGGCCCCATTTCTCACCAGTGGGTAGGGGGAAGAAACATAAACTCTTAGGCGCTTAATGAAAATTATAGGTCCACTCTCTGGAAAACCACTGTTAAAATCATAGTTTCATGCAGTTTTCAGGAAATTCATAGATTTTCCTGAGTCATAGAGAAGAACCTGTGGCTTAGGAGGCATGATCTGAGATTGAGAGTACAGGACAAATGCGGACTAATGGATGGGCAGGGGGAATAGCACAGGAGTTGCTTCAGATAGGGCCAGAATTCGAGGAAAGGGATGGTTGAGACAGTCTCATCCCTATTGCTTGGCAACTTGGACTCCTTCCTTTGCTCTTGTTCTAGATGACCAAAATGCTGGATTTGCTGGAGGACTTCCTGGACTATGAAGGCTACAAGTACGAGCGCATCGATGGGGGTATCACAGGCGCTCTGCGGCAGGAGGCCATTGACCGATTCAATGGTGAGGGGAGATGCCTTGGTGCCTGGTGGGCTTGGGCACCCCAAGAAACCTGTGCCAAGTCCCTGGGATCAGGGGTGGGGCTAGTATGGGGCTGATGTGGGGTGTATGAGACACCTGGTTTCCAGATGGAACTGCGGTTGTGACAGGGCACATCTTGCAGCAAATGGGCAGGACTGCTGGATATAAGAATAACCTGGTCTACTAATCTCCACCTCCTAGCTCCCGGGGCCCAGCAGTTCTGCTTTCTGCTGTCCACTCGAGCCGGAGGCCTGGGCATCAACCTGGCCACTGCTGACACAGTCATCATTTTTGATTCTGACTGGAACCCCCACAATGACATCCAGGTGGGAATCTGGAGCCTGAAGCCCCCACTCCACTGAGCAAGGAGAAGTGGGTGCACAGAGGAGGGTGTCACCTTCTGGGAGGAGAGAAGCCCTCCTCACTAACTTCCATGCTTGAGTGTAACTGCAACCTCCTTCTGGCTTACCTCACTTGCTTCCCACTGCAGGCCTTCAGCCGGGCTCATCGCATTGGTCAGGCCAACAAGGTGATGATCTACCGGTTTGTGACTCGGGCATCCGTGGAAGAGAGAATCACGCAGGTGGCCAAGAGGAAGATGATGCTGACCCACCTAGTGGTGCGGCCTGGGCTGGGCTCCAAGGCGGGCTCCATGTCCAAGCAGGAGCTTGATGACATCCTCAAATTTGGCACCGAGGAGCTGTTCAAGGATGAGAATGAGGGTGAGCTCCTCCACTGTGGCCTTGGGGGTGCAGAGCCCCACTCATGGAGCGAGCCCCATGCTGCTCCCATGGAAAGACTTCCCGCCTATTGGGTGAAAATTAGCATCACAAAAACTCAGCATGGACTCCTGGGGAAACAAGCTCCTAGGGCTCCCTGAGAAGGAGGCCACGTCAGGCTTGCCTCAGACCTTTCCTAAGTTGTGACCAAATTGTCCTGGCTGGAGACACCTGTCCTGTTTTGTTTCCTGCTCCCACTAGGAGAGAACAAGGAAGAGGACAGCAGTGTGATTCACTATGACAACGAGGCCATTGCCAGGCTGTTGGACCGGAATCAGGATGACACAGAGGACACAGATGTGCAGAACATGAATGAGTATCTCAGCTCCTTCAAGGTGGCCCAGTATGTCGTGCGGGAAGAAGACAAGGTAAGGGGGCTGCAGGGCCACACGCCGCCTGTTCCAGGCCGTCTCTGCAGGGTAGTGCCCAGTGGAGCTTCAAGTCGAAGCCTTTGAGTAGGACTCTTGGCTCTGATTTCCTATTTGCTCTTACCCAATACCCAGTAGTAGACCTCAAACAGAGGGAGAAAGACAGAGTTCTTTCGTGTGCTGCTTCACTTCCTAAATGACCACAACAGCTGTGGCTGGGCCAAGCCAAAGCCAGGAGTCTGGAACTCAGTCTATGTCTCCCATGTGGCTGGCAGGGACCCAAGAAGCTGGGCCATCATTGGTTGCCTCCTGGGGTACACATTAGCAAGAAGTAGAGCCGGGTCTTAATCCCAGGCTTTCTGATAGAGATCTGGGTATCTTTAAGTGGCATCTTCAGTGCTGTGCCAAAATCTTGCTCTTCGACTTGTTAGTCTGTAGGTGAGACCCAACTTTAGAGAATGATGTTTGCAGAGAAAGTCCTGATGAACACCGCAGGGCACCTTCTGAGTCCAAGCAGGGAAGGCAGAGTGTATCACAAAGGGGCTGGCATTATGGCATAAAGGGTAAAGCCACCACCCATGATGCTAGAATCCCATATTGGCCCTGGTTCAAGTCCTGGCTGCTCTACTTCCAATCCAGCTTCCTGCTAATGGCCTGGGAAAGCAGCAGAGAATGGTCCAAGTGCTTGGGCTCCTGGACCCCAGCAATTGTGACTATTTGGATAGCACACAAACAAGTGAAGATCTCTCTCTCTTTCTGTGTGTCTGTAACTGACTTTCCAATAGAGAAAATACATCTTAACAACAACAAAAAAAAAGTGCCGCTGAGAAGGAGCTCTAGGCGGGGTCTGGCTGTAGCAGGAGGGTAGTGATTTGGGGCAGTGCAAGGCCTGGTGAAGGAGGACGCATAGCTGTCGTTGTTCTTCAGATTGAGGAGATCGAGCGAGAGATCATCAAACAGGAGGAGAACGTAGACCCTGACTACTGGGAGAAGCTACTGAGGCACCACTACGAGCAGCAGCAGGAGGACCTGGCCCGGAACCTGGGCAAGGGCAAGCGGGTGCGCAAGCAGGTGAACTACAATGATGCTGCACAGGAGGACCAAGGTGAGCTGCACCCCAGATGCAGAATGGAATATGGCAGGTGGGTGGCACACAAGCTGAGCCGGGACTGGAGAGGAAGAGAGAGGCCTTCTCCCACTCAAGGGGAAGTAGTTAGGAGCTGCTGGTTGGGGTGGGGGAGACACCAGGTGGGCTTGTAGACAGTGTAGATTGTGAGGCAATTGTGGCTCAGAAGAGACTCCAGAGACCCCAAGTGGCTGAGGTCAGGAGGCGTCAGGCTGTGGGCAGTGACTTGGTGTCCCCCAGGGAAGGATGCCCAGGCCAGGGAGGAGGTCCAGGAGTTGCAACGAGACACATCCAGGTGGCAGGGACCCTAGCATGGGAGCCACCACTGACCACAGAGCCCTGTTGTCCTCGCAGATAACCAGTCAGAGTACTCTGTGGGGTCCGAGGAAGAGGATGAAGACTTCGATGAACGTCCTGAAGGTGGCGTCTGCTCTCTTGATTTTTCTCTCAGCTCTTCCCAGCTAAGGACCATCTGATAGAAAAGCTAAAACTCTCAGATGAGTTGGACAAAATGTTCATAGCCATTGCAGAGATTTGGCACCTGCAACCTGCTTAGATACCCAGATCCACAAAGATTACATCATTTCACTGTCCTGCTGGTGTAAAATAGTAGTTGCTCACTTTTAACACAACTTAATTCTATTGGACTCCCTGAGCTTTGTAGTTCTGAGTTCTTCAAGGGAATTGAGCAGTGCCTCAGGCATCCTCCGGGTGGCCCCTGGTGGGAGCCGGCACTGCTGAGCACTGGGGCCTGGAGGAGGTGGTGCAAATACTGACTCACTGCTCCCCTTGCCCCATCCTCAGGACGCCGCCAGTCCAAGAGGCAGCTCCGGAATGAAAAGGACAAACCACTGCCGCCTCTGCTGGCTCGAGTTGGGGGCAACATTGAGGTGAGAGCTGAACCCAGGCCCTGCAGGAGCCTAGGGGCTGAAGAGATCTGGGTCCAAGACCTGTGCTGGTGGCTGTTGGTCACCCGACCTGCTTGCCCTCACCCTCAGGTGCTGGGATTCAACACCCGCCAGCGGAAGGCCTTCCTCAATGCCGTGATGCGCTGGGGGATGCCACCACAGGACGCCTTTACCACACAGTGGCTGGTGCGGGACCTGAGGGGCAAGACTGAAAAGGAGTTCAAGTGAGTGTGGGCAAACCGGGAGCAAGAGTGAATAGGGCACAAAGGCAAGCACGCTGGGTGTTACTTTCTTCCTCATGGCCACCATGTGATGTGACCTTACTCAGCTGATCACCACGCTCCTGGCCATAGGACATGTCCTGGCTCAATTTCCTGGGGGGTGAGCTCAGCCTCCCCCACCCCCCCTCGCCTGAGCCTAAAGTAGAGGAGCCAGGCAGCCACCCCCCAGAGAGACCTTTAAGTAAGGGGCCTCCCTTGGCTGGCTTGACCTCACATCGACTTGGCCATGACCCCTGGAGGGAGGAGCTGGTGGCCCGGATGAAGAGTTGACTGATGGGGCCCGGGGAACAAAGGAGCCAGGCCAAAGAATTGGTGGGAGAATAGGAGAGGTGATGGGGCAGGTAGAGTTTGGAGGGGTGGAGCCCACGAGAGAAACTCTAGGGGCACCTGACTAGGTGGGGACTCAGATGTTCAGTAATCTCTATGCCTTACCAGCTGCCCTATACCCCTTCTAAGGGGTACCTAACACTCCCCCAAACCCCTGCTCCCTAGGGCTTACGTGTCTCTCTTTATGCGTCATCTGTGCGAGCCCGGGGCTGATGGCTCAGAAACCTTTGCCGATGGAGTCCCTCGTGAGGGCCTGAGTCGCCAGCAGGTGCTGACCCGCATCGGAGTCATGTCTCTCGTGAAAAAGAAGGTACCAGTGTTCCCATCACCCAGAGGGCCAATTGGTCTGTCCCCCGTCTTCCTCCCTCGGGCTCTGCAGTGACACTAGGATGAGACAGAAGAGTTAGGAGTTTCCTGTGTATGCGGTACCCTGAGCTGACCCCTGTGCCATGGCCTTCCTCCCCAACCCCATCTGCCATCAGGTGCAGGAGTTTGAGCACATCAACGGGCGCTGGTCGATGCCAGAGCTGATGCCGGACCCCAGCGCCGACTCCAAGCGCTCCTCCAGAGCCTCCTCTCCTACCAAAACTTCTCCTACCACACCCGAGGCTTCAGCCACGAATAGCCCCTGCACCTCAAAGCCTGGTAATCAGGAGCTGGGGTGGCAGGACAGATGGGAGAAGAGGGAGGAGTCAAGAGTTGGGGGAGAGGAACTCCAGCTGGGCCTTCCTCACTTCACCTTCCCCTTGCAGCTACTCCGGCTCCAAGTGAGAAAGCAGATGGTGCAAGGACACCTCTTGAGAAGGATGAAACGGAAAATCAAGAGGAGAAGCCAGAGAACAGCAAACTAGGGGAGAAGATGGAGACGGAGGTATGTGGCTGCCTGGCCTCTCCCTGGGGAGGACGGGGAACAGAGGAGCTCTCTGGCTCTGCCTGACCCCACTTCCTTCTCCTAGGCTGAGGCTCCTAGCCCCACCCCCTCACTTGGGGAGCACCTGGAACCCCGAAGGATTCCTCTTGATGAGATTCCCGGGGTGCCTGGAGAGATGGAGTCCCAAGCTGGGCCCCGAGCAGACAGAGAGAAGTCAGGTGGGTGTCTGACCTCGGAGATGATAGGGGCTTCAAAGGCAGTGGTGTCCTTTTCTGGGATCAGGGGGTGAGGTTGATGTCCTCCCTTCCTATCCCCTGTCCCCTCCTACAGCCATGGAGTCGATGCCAGGAGAGAGAGGGGAGGAGAAGCCATTGGATGGACAGGATCACAGGGAGAGGCCACAGGGGGACACAGGGGATTTGGCCAAGAGAGGTAATGAGTGGAAGGACTGGATGCGGGTCGCGAAGGGAATCCTGGGAGATGGGGTCTGGAGTTCCCACTGCTGGGTCCTGGGCAGGCAGCTTGTGTGAGGCCAAGACAGCACAGGCCAGAGCCGTGGGACCTGGGGGGAGACTGTCCCAAGGAATGAGCTTTGCCCTGTCTGTCCTAGCAGAAGATGCAAAAGGTGACCGAGAACTGCGGGCTGGGTCTCGAGATGAGCCACGGTCCAATGGGCGCCGTGAGGAGAAGGCAGAGAAGCCCCGGTTCATGTTCAATATCGCAGATGGTGGCTTCACAGGTAGGGGGTGTTCTTTGCACTGCCAGCACCTCACTGGGAGCTGCCCATCCCCAGCGGGTTTCTCCCTGTACCTGAGCCATCTACTCCCTTTACTTCAGTGTAACTCCCCAGCAAGGTGCTGGCTGCTAATGCTGGGCCTCACTGTGAACTATCCTTAGGTCACTTCCCAACTCCCTTCTTTAATCCCACTTTTATTTTTCATTCTTTTATTTGAAAGGTGGAGTTAGAGGAGGGAGAGAGAGAAGGTCTTCCATTTGCTGATTCTCTCTCCAATGGCTGCAGTATGCAGGTCTAGGCCAGGCTAGAGCCAGGAACCAAGAGCTTCATCTTGGTCTCCCATGTGGTACAGGGGCCAAAGCACTTGGATAACCCTCTACTGCTTTCCCAGGCACATTAGCAGGAAGCTGGACCAGAAGTAGAGCAGCTGAGCCTTGAACCGGTGCCCATTTGGAATGCTGGCATTAAGGCAGCAGCTTTACCACAGTGCTGGCCCCTTATCTGGTCTTCTTCAGGCACCCTTAGCATTGCCCTGTTAGTTTCCTCATCCATACTTGCTTATGCGGTGCGATGCAATTTGCAGACCCTTGACACTCCTTCTCTCTACTGTCTCCAGAGCTTCACACGCTGTGGCAGAATGAAGAACGGGCAGCTATTTCCTCTGGGAAACTCAATGAGATCTGGCACCGAAGGCATGACTATTGGCTGCTGGCTGGCATTGTCCTGTATCCTTTGCTGTGAATGCAAGTAGTGGAAGAGGGGAGCTGTGGAGATCGTGGTGCTCATATGACGTGCAGGGGGACTTGCGCCTGACAGCAGGGAGGTCAGCCCCAAAGGGAGGAGCTTTACACAGCCAAGTCCATTTCTGTTAAGTTCCTTGATGTGCTTTGCTTCATCGGCAGCCATGGCTACGCTCGGTGGCAGGACATCCAGAATGATGCACAGTTTGCCATCATCAATGAGCCCTTTAAAACTGAGGCCAATAAGGGAAACTTTCTGGAGATGAAAAACAAATTCCTGGCCCGGAGGTTCAAGGTGGGAATGAGGGAAGAAAGGAGCAGAGTGGGAGAGGGACCGGGTTGGGCTGGAAGCCAGAGAAACTCTGGCAGAACCCAGGGAAGAGAGCCCTGGCAGGTGGAGGTGACACTGGAGACAGCCCAGAGGTGTAGTGGCTTGGGTGGACACGGGGATCGTGGTGTGGAGCTGCGAAGGGCCCAGGGCCAGCAGCAAGGATCAGGCGGATCTGCACACTGTGGGGTCCTGCATGGGCTCCCCTGCATTCATGCCCCCTCTCCCACCCCTCATCCCACGTTCCCAGCTCCTGGAGCAGGCGCTGGTGATCGAGGAGCAGCTGCGGCGGGCGGCCTACCTGAACCTGTCACAGGAGCCGGCGCACCCCGCCATGGCCCTCCACGCCCGCTTCGCCGAGGCTGAGTGCCTGGCCGAGAGCCACCAGCACCTCTCCAAGGAGTCTCTGGCGGGGAACAAGCCGGCCAACGCCGTCCTGCACAAGGGTAAGGGCCGCGGCGGCCCCGCGCGGGGGAGGGCCCACAGCGCTGCGTAAGTCTTCACCCCGCACCCCTCAAAATCTCCCCACCCCTCTGAACCCTTTACCCTCTGAACCACCCCCCTCTGACCTCTGACTCCCACCCCTGACCCACCTGGCACCCCTTGGTTTGTAACCTCACCTGAGGTGGATAGTATTCACAGCAGTGCCTGGTAGAGGGACACTCCTACCCCGCCCAAAATCTGGTGTCCGGTCCACACTGTGGGTCCTGCCATCCTGCGGTAACCGCCCACTTTGGAGTCACGACTCTGCCACAGGAGTTCTTAACTGTGATCCTGCAGACCACGTTGGCTCATGCAACTGACATTCATTCACCCCAAAAGGCAGGAGCACCTGTCCCACTCTCTGCCCCACCCCATGGAACTTCCCTTAGACCTTCAGCCCTTCCTTCCTCTTCCCTTGTGAGTGATGGATCCAGCCCCAAAGGCATTGAGCATATACTGCCTGATGCAGTGACTGACCCTCATGATTTTTGAATCAGTAATTATTGATCCACTAGCCTCTCTCTTCTCTCACATAGTAAAACCTTGATTCCCTAAGTCTTTGACACCATTTACCGCCTCCCATGCCTCCTGCCATTTCCTCCCCATCCTCCCCAACCCCCAAACCTCCCTCTGCCGATATGGGATGTTCTGACAACTCCCTGCCCCATGTCTTCCAATGTCCTCCCCTGTGTCCCTTCTCTCCGTACCTCCTGCTCTTCCTCCTTTCTCTCCATCTGTCCTCTGGTGGTCTGGTCTCTGTCTCTTCCTGACACTTTTCCTTTTCCCCTGAGCTGCTTTTCTGTTCTGTATACTTCTGTTACTTCCTGGATCTCTGGTTCTTTGACATCTCTCTCTTTCACTTTCCCTCTGTCCATCTGACTCCTTATCTCTTTCCTGGCTCTCTCTTCTTCTCTTTCTCCATCTTTCTCTCTTGGCCTTCTTTCTCCGTGGCCCGGGCCCCAGTTCTGAACCAGCTGGAGGAGTTGCTGAGCGACATGAAGGCGGACGTGACACGCCTGCCAGCCACGTTGTCCAGAATACCCCCCATCGCAGCCCGCCTTCAGATGTCCGAGCGCAGCATTCTCAGCCGGCTGGCCAGCAAGGGCACGGAGCCCCACCCCACGCCGGTAACCGTCCTTCCCCCTAACTCTGTTCTCCCTGTGGGTGCTTCTCACACACCTCCATCAGAGCCCTAAGCAGTGTGGAGAACAGAATGCTAGACTAACTCACCCCTCATCCCCCACTGCCCCCAAGTGCATGCCCATGTGCCATGTGTTGCACCTGCCCGCCTAGCAGTTGTGGAGCATGGCCCCATCTCCCCTCAGCTTCCTTTCTCTCAGGTCCTGCACTGACCCATACTCTGCATTGCTCTCTATTCCAGGCCTTCCCTCCGGGGCCATACGCCACACCTCCGGGGTACGGGGTGGCCTTCAGCGCCGCCCCCGTAGGGGCCTTGGGCGCCGCAGGCGCCAACTACAGCCAGATGCCTGCAGGGTCCTTCATCACAGGTCAGCTGGAGACTCCCACCCCTGCTTCTCGTACTCCTCTTTTGCCAAGCTTGTCCCCGCCACCTGCCCAGGGCTCTGTTCCTCTCTTAATTCCTTTCTCCTCATGGTCAAAAACCTCACCCAGGGTCTCCTGCCCAAGCCTTCCACATCCAGGTTACTTCTGGGAAGGTAGTACCACGGACACCTCAACAGGAGGCAGGGGCACAGCCAGGTTTTCCCAGCCCCACCCAGAATGGTCCCATGCGGCAGAAGGTGACCCAGAAGTGAGACTGGTTGTCAGGATGTGACATTTGGGAGCAACATGGGGATTGACCTTTCCTTACACCTTTTTCACACAGCCGCCACCAACGGCCCTCCAGTGCTGGTGAAGAAGGAGAAGGAAATGGCGGGAGCACTGGTGTCAGACGGGCTGGAACGGAAGGAGCCCCGAGCCGGGGAGGTGATCTGTATAGACGACTGACTGGATCCCAGGCCTGCCCTTCTCCCAGGCCCCGCTCCCGAGGCCGCCTCCCAGTTCAGGCTCCGGGGCCTGCTGCCAACCCTTCACCCTCCCCACCCCCGGGGCCACCGCTGGGCTAGGCATCCCTTTGCCCCTCTGCCATTCTTGTGTCCAGGAAGTGGCCCTCTGTCCTCCATGTCCACACCCCTTTCCCAGCAAGCTTAGAAGACTATGCTGCTGAGAAAAGGTCTGGGTGGGAGACTGCACTGGGTCTTCCACTTCCCTTGACTCTCCCACCACCAAATATATACAGCTTCCTAGCCTGAGTGGTTATGGGGAGCAAAGAGGGGGTATCTCCCCCACCCCTGTCATCTTTTCCTGCAGTGCCAGCTCCATCTCCTGCCAGTTGGGGGATCAGCCTTGCCTGGCCTTTAGGACTTTTTTTGGTGGGGGAGGGAAAAGTTTTGCAGAGAGGAGGGGGACTTTTAGAGAGGGACAAAAATGAACCCTCGGAGGGAGAAAGGGAAGAGGAGGGGTGGCTGCATGTTACCCTCCCCTGCCTCTCCCCAAACAAGCAAGCACGGGCAGAGGGTGGAGCAGTCACGAGGGACGGTGTCCGTTGCTGTTCAGCCTCAGAATAAAGGTGCCGCTCACTGGCTCAGTTACCTGCTGTGTATCGGCATCTTGTGTTGGGACTCTCGACCCCCCTCTGCAGGGGTCCACAAAAAGAATGGTTGGGCGACACTCCCTCAAGCCAAAGAGGAGCTCCCCAAACCTGTTCTGGGAGCCCTGGGAACTCTGAAAGAGAGGGAAAGAAGAGGTCGAACAAGAGGGGAGGCCCGGGTGCAGGGAACTGCTGCCCCCCGCCCCCCTGCCCAAGGCCTAGATACAGACTGAATTTGAGTGGGTCAGGCAGAGGGCCTGGTCAGGGGACTGTTTTGCCTTTGGGACTAGAACAAAACATGGAGGGCAGGCTAGGAGACATGGACGTGTACCTGCCCCACAGGGCTGAGGAGAGTGGCAGTTTGCATGGCGAACCCCCCACTTCTTCGCTGCCCCCTCACTTTCTTGCTGCCCCTTTGCAAGTCTCTCTTCAACACCCACTTCTGCTCTGTCCCGACCCCCACTTCTGTATCAGGTTTATTGGTTGTACATATAAATTATACTTTCCTTTCTGTGTGCTCTGTTGTTTTGGGCTGGGCTGATGGGGGAGGGATAAGAAAGGTTATTGCTTTCTGCCATTTTATATAATCCATCTTTTTCTTTATTTTTAAAATCTTGTATCTTGTTTTCATTTTGATTGAATCATTCACTAACCCCAGCAGTGTGGAGGTAGAGGGTGAGCAGCAGGAGACCTTGGAAGCCTTGGGTAAGGTGCAGAGAGCACACACGGGGCTTTTCTGGGCCAAACTGTAGTTGGAAGTGTGCCTGGCAGGATTCAAAACTGCCTTCCTGTCACCCTTGGGTTAGCTTAGTCCCCCCAAGAGTCAGTAGAGGTCGCTGCAGCTCCATGGCTTCAATTCCACCCAGAAGGAAAGATACACTTTTCTTTTTTTAATAATGGAATCAGGGTCACACCTGCTTAGCTTGCTAAAGGTGAGGGCTGCTAAGCACTTCCTTAAGGCGGGCTGTGCAGAAGGGCCTCCCAGAGGTTGTGGGACCAGAGTTATTCAAACTATCACATGAAAACACAGACAAATCCAACAGTTCTTTATTCAGTACAAACAACATTAACACTGGGACCTGCCCTAAAGATAATGTCGCTCTGGGTTTCCACTGTGGCAGGGGACACCCCAAAACTTTCTAATAAGTTGAAAAGCCATTATGATACAGAGAGCACAGAAAGACAGACTCCCAAAGGAGGAAATGAATTGAAATTACAGGAAAATGCCAAGAAGATTTTTAAAAACAGGTTTGCAACCTGTCAGGGTGTGCATTTGTCAATCCTTTCTCTGTCCCTTGGCTGAGCTCAGGTGTACAATTTGTCAAAGGGAATAGTCTGGAGACCCCAAAGGAATTGGGGTTTATATTTAAGTTCACATTTTCAGCTCAGAAAAAAAAAAAAAAAAAGGCTGCTTCAACAACTTTAGAACTTCAATAAAACAGTTAAGTATTCCATTCACTGATGGTGACATCTAGAGTATAAAGGACCCAGACCAGCGTTTCTTAAACCTACATGCACCCAAGTCACTGGGATTGTGAAGAATGCAGAGTTCACTTGAATGGGATTCTGCAGTTCTGACAAGCTCTTGGTAACACCAGCCCTAATTAGGTGCCTTAAGTAGTTTCTGAGATGGAGCAAACCAGGGAGGCGTCTCAGCAGCTTCAGGAACACAGGAGTGAAGAAAGCCTACCAGCATCCTTCCAGGCCCCAGGAAGACAACTACGACACCAACATCTGCGTCCAGCTCTGCTGCCCCCTCATTTGGAACATTGCAAACCACTGACAACTGCTAAACCGGGACCTGTTGCTGCCACACACCAGCGCGGGCCTGGACCACAGCCAAAGCCACAGCTCAGAAAACAGTCTGGCTGCTTCCTTCCCACGGCAATGTGGGCTTTGTTTACACGCCATCGTCAAGCCACACTATGCTGGGCAAATGGGCTGGCGCGGGCGAGGGCATCACACTTGCCAGGCTCCCCCGCCCCCAGTCGCCACTCCCGCATCACAGACTGCGTAGTCTGGATAAGGGCTCCCAAGGCTGCAGAGAGCTCGCTGGAGAAGGCAGCTGCCGCCTCGCTTCTTCTGTACCTGCCGAGTCCCTACGTTACAGAGTGCAGCGGGTCAGGTGGCCAATGTCCTTAATCTCCGGACAGTACAGCACTGGAAGAGTAAAGGGAATGGGGTTAGTTGCGGCAGCAGGACGGGGCCGGACCCCTGCGGTCCTCTCGGCGCTCTCCCAGGCCTCCTCCCCAAGCGGCCCCTCACCGTTGCTAGGCAGCGGACGCCGCCAGCGGCGCGCAGGCGCCAAGACCCTGTCCCAGAGACGCCGGAGCGCGCGCCAGCCCGCGCTCCGAGGCCCCGCCCCCTCCTCGTTCTCCTCTTCCTCGTGATCGGCCTCCGGGACGGCGTCGCCGCGCTCCTTGACCGGACTCCCCGCCATTTCTCGTTCACCCGGGGCCCGCTCTTTGTCTTCCAATCGCGACCACAAGTCGGGGTCGACGGCTACCTCGGTGACGCCGCCACGCGGGAGCGCGGAGGGCGCGCGGCAGAAGGGACACGTGACGACGCGGCGCAGGCGCACCACGCGCGCGGCCGCCCCGGCGCCGTCCCCGCGCGCGGCGAGCTGGCGCAAGCAAGCGGTGCAGAGCGTGTGGCCGCAGCGGGCGCGCGCCGTGCCGGGCAGACGGCGGGGTGCGCGGTCTCCGAGGTTGAAGGGCCGGTAGCAGATACTGCAGTCCAGTTCGCCCCGTTCTGGCAGAGACGGTACCCTCACCAAGAGTTGCATGGCGCCCGTCGAGGAGGACGCGAAGGCGTTGCTAGCGCGCTCTGCGCGGTGGACAAGAACGACCGGGCCCTCTTGTATCCTGGGGTTCTTGGGGCCGGCGCCGCGGCTTCTTGCCCCTTTTTATAGTGGGGCCCAACCCTGGAGGCATCACGCGACTGGCGGGCCGCTCCCACCGGCGGCACGCGTGGGGGCGGTGGAGGCGAGGGCTGGAATGCCAGTGATGGTGGAGCACAGCAGACAGCCCAGAGGGCTGTGCTGGGACCAGGACCCTGAAGAGACCCCCGACCCTTCTTCCCTTCACATCTTCTTTCAAACCCCAGCCTAGCATCAGTACCACAGGACTCCATCCTGTGCCTATCTCCAGGTCCCCCAGCCACTCAGGGCTCTAAAGCCCCTCGTTCTGTTTGTTCACTGCTCACAGGTTCACAACTCCACCCAGGCAGCTTCCTGGACCGGTTACACTGCCCCAGCTGTTAGTGGGCTCCCTGGCGGCCCAAGCTATCCTGCCCAACTGCTGTTCTGCTTATGATTTTTTTTTTTTATTGGAAAGGCTGATTTACAGAGAGAAGGAGAGACAGAAAGATCTTCCATCCACTGGTTCACACCTCAGATTCCACAACAGCCAGAGCTGAGCCTATACAAAGCCAAGAAGGAGCTTCTTCCAGGCCTCCCATGCAGGTACAGGGTCCCAAAGCTTTGGACCATCTTCTGCTGCTTTCCCAAGCCACAAGAAGAGAGCTGGATAGGAAGTGGAGCATCTGGGACACGAACCAGTGCCCATATGGGATGCTGGCACCTGCAGGTGGAGAATTAGCTAGCTGAGCCATTGTGCCCCTCTCCCCCTTGCTTATGATTCTTATACATGACCTGTGTTGTAAGGCTGGCTCCCCAAATTTCATTCTTCCAAATTTCATTCCCTCCTCACCTGACATCTAAACCCAAGGAGGGCCTTGGGTTCCAGAGCAGGGATGGGAATGCTGGGAATCTTCCCATTCTGGCGGCCTGCACACCCACACACAGTGATGGCTCCTGCAAGGCATCCCAGCATATGACTTGTGACTCAGGGTCTGACTTCCCCCACAGGTAAACAGGACATGGGACTCAGAGCCCTCATTCCCTCCTGGGGACACACCCACAGGTGCTGGTGGACTCAGACATAATCTGGAACCAGCTGGCTCAGGGTCAAATATTTGCCTCTGCCACTGGTGAAGGAGCTATTTTTTTTTTTTCTGGCCAGGACAGCATGAGCTTCTAGACCCTTAAAATAGGGTCTAGGATGCACACAGCATTTGTTCCTTCCCAGTTCATGTGTGCACTCATTGTCAGAACCCAGCATCTTCTCCCCAGGTCTCTCTCTAGAACAATACAACGTGGGCTTCTCTGCTCCCATGGCATGCACTGGCTTTAACGGGCAACAGAATTGATTTCCCAGAGGGAAACTTTTCATTCATGCAGTGGTGGGTAATTATTTGAAAGCCAACATCTCGGGGCTTTTGTCTTTCTGTCCACTCCACAAAAGCTTGTCATGCACAGTGATCTGTCCTAATTCTAAACTGTCTCCTCCCCGTATGACATTGCTCTTTTAATATCGTCAATTGGTGAGAACACTTTTCAGGTATATCTGGTGATGTAAATGCTGCCAAAGAATTGAACAACCAAGGCCTCCTCTAACTTTTGGGCTTGTAGTTCCCATTGTTTGTTCCACGGCTTTTCTGGTTTATCTTCGAGATAAACTCAAACTGATGATCTGTTTCCAAACCAAAAAAACACACACACACCTGCCCTGAAGACAGCATGGGGGGCGGGGATGACTGAGGACACATGGGGATTAGAAGCATTCATTCAGTGGCCAGCACTAACTGCCAAGCAGGCTGGGGAGGCCAGACCGAATGTCCCTGCTCAGACGGTCTGCCAGCTGAACACAGGCCAGGTGAAAATAACTGAAGAATTCCAGGCCAACTCTACAGAAATGAGAGGAAAGGAAGGTGTTGTTTTACAAGTTGCTTCAAGCCATTCCGTTAATTTTTATTTATTTTTTTAAAGATTTATTTATTTTTATTACAAAGTCGGATATACAGAGAGAAGGAGAGACACAGAGGAAGATGTTCCGTCTGATGGTTTACTCCCCAAGTGACCACAATGGCCAGTGCTGTGCCGATCAGGAGCCAGGAGCTCTTCCGGGTCTCCCACATGGGTGCAGGGTCCCAAGGCTTTTGGCCATTCTCAACTGCTTTCCCAGGCCACAGGCAGGGAGCTGCATGGGAAGTGGAGCTGCCGGGATTAGAACCGGCGCCCATATGGGATCCTGGACGTGTTCAAGGTGAGGACTTTAGCCACTCGGCCACCGTGCTGGGCCTAAACTTTTATTTATTTTTTAAAGCCTTTCCGTGTTAAGACAGTTTGTAGTGTGTGCACACATAATTGATAAAGAGCATTTAGGATAATAAAGATACTATTCTAGGGGCTGGTGCCATGGTGTATCTGGTAAGGCCACTGGTTACAGCATTAGCAGTATCCCATATGTTCATCAGTTTGAGTTCTGGCTGCTCTACCTCTGATCCAGCTCCCTGCTAACGCACCTGGGAAAGCAGTCAAAGATGGCCCTAGTGCTTGGACCCTGCCACTCATATGGAAGACAGCCACTGCAGCCATTTGGGGAGTGAACCAGCAGATGAAAGATCTCTCTCTGTAACATTTCCTTGCAAATAAATACATTTTTTAAAAGATAACATTCTAAAGGTTTCAGCTCAGTGGCTAAATCCTCACTTTGCAAGCACCAGATCCCATATGGTTGCTGGTTCCAGTCCAAACCACTTTACTTCCCATCCAGCTCCCTGTGTGGCCTGAGGAAGCAGTGGAGGGTGGCCCAATGCCTTGGGATCCTGTACCCGCGTGGGAGACCTGGAAGAAGTTCCTGACTCCTGGCTTCAGATCGGATTAGCTCAGCTCTGGCTGTTGAAGCCACTTGGGGAGTGAATAATCAGATGGAAGATCTTTCTTTCTCTCCTTCTCTCTGTATATCTATCTTTCCAATAAAACATAAATAATTTAAAAAATTCTAAAGTGGGCCCGGCGTGGTGGCGCAGTGATTAAGGTCCTCGCCTTGCACGCCTGGGATCCCATATGGGCACTGGTTCTAATCCCGGCAGCCCCGCTTCCCTTCCAGCTCCCTGCCTGTGGCCCGGGTGAGCAGTCGAGGACAGCCCAAAGCTTGGGACCCTGCACCAGCGTGGGAGACCCGGAAGAGGCTCCTGGCTTCGGATCACATCAGCCGTTGCGCTCACTTGGGGAGTGAAACATCGGACGGAAGATCTTCCTGTCTTTCCTCTCTGTGTATCCGCCTTTCCGATAAAAATAAAATAAATCTTTTAAAAAAAAAATTGTAAAGCACCTGTGAAGTCTTGTGGATTTTCAGCTCCCCCAAGCCACATGGCCTTTGCGTGGGCTCTGGCCTCAACTCTCTTGTTCTCACCTTAACACCCTTACAGCCTTCAGTGTTTGCCGCAGCCTCCTCATCTCACATAAACCCTGGACTGGACTCTGGACAAATGACAGTGTAATTTGGTGTTTATGTGGTGTTCTTTCCCATCAGTCACCTGTATGGTTTTTCTGTTTCGTTTCCCTCCCCCCACCACCACTTAATTCCTGTGTCACACTATAATCCAACTCAATAAACAAATACTTGTTAAATAATATGAGTGAGGTGAATGGTAAGTAGGGCAAATGTTTAAATGTCAAGGGGGTGTGACAGTAAAGGAAAGATTTTTTTTTTTCTTCAGAGGCAGGTAATTCAAGAAGGACCTTGTAAAATATTTTATGCAAGGTAGAGGTGGGAGGGGAGAGGCAGCATCAAAGTGTGTAATCCTCCCAGGGAACTATTTAAAGAGAATACTATTTGAATTGATAAGCTCATGTGTATTTGCTACAGAATAACTAATCATGGTTTAGTCATGCATTTTTACTTCTTTGCTTCCTAAATGAGTGGGAGATGAGAGGAGTGCGGGCCCTACAAGCTGATCTGGTTGGTTGCTAATCCAGTATATGGCACACTGCTGACTTTTTGGAAATCGGTTTCCCCTGTTCTCCCCGCTTCCCGCACCAAGGAGGGTTGGGCTCGGTGGCAGGGAGACAGTGAGGCTGTATTTAAGGGAGGCGAGGCTCTGCCTCCACCCCCTGTGACTTTTACAGGTTGTTATTTTCCTCCCCCAGAGATCTGAGTCTTCTGGGGAGGGGAGTGGGCTCTGACCCAGCTCCATTCCCATGCTTTATTGCCAACCTCATACCTGATCTTTCAGATGCTTAAATATTTTTTTAAATCTTCAGGCCCAACATAATGACTCGATGGCTCAATCCTCACTTTGTAAGTGCTAGGATCCCATATATATGTGCCAATTCATGTCCCAGCTGCTCCACTTCCTTTCCAGCTCCTTGCTTATGGCCTGGGAAAGCAGTGGAGCATGGCCCAAAGCCTTGGGAGATCGGGAGACCTAGAAGAAGCTCTTAGCTCTGTATCAACTCAGCTGCCGCTATTCCGGCCACTTGGGGAATAAACCCATGGATGGAAGATCTTTCTCTCTGTTTATCTGTCTTTCCAAAAATATGATAATAATAAATATTTGTAAATAAATAAATAAACCTTTCCCTGTCCATGTCTCTTCATCAGAAAACCAGTCTTCTCCTCTCCTGCAAGTCCCGAAGCCTCAAGCTCTGAACAGCATCTCCAGCTCAGCCACAAGTGAACTACACAGGCAGCTCCTGGGCACAGGTATGGGTGTCTGGCTGATGGGACTAAGAAGTAAGGCTGAGGAATAAGCAGCAACCGAAGCCAGGTGTCAGCTGGATCCTTCCAGAGGAGCCAAATCTCAGAGTTCTGAGAATTTTAACCACCGAAGGAAAAACAAAACAAAAAACAAAGCCTCTGTGCCTGGGTTCTTGATGAGCTATTGACCAGGAGGCAGGTCACTGGGGAAGGGTGAAGCAGCCAGATCATGGAGGTGAGCGAGCAACGCAGAGAAATTAGGAGAATTTTAGTGGTCGGGGCCAAAGAGCCTGCCACAAGTGACCCAGTAACCCCACCACCACACACACTTCAGACATGCGAGGATCAAGCTGAGGTTTTATTTACAGTTCCCTGGGAAGTCTTACAGAAGAGGGGTCATCGTTATTGCTTTAGGATTATTGCAGGAGGAAGGCTGCCATCCTCCACTGCCAAACAGAAAATCCTGCTCTGGACTTCAGAGTCCGTGCCTGAGTCATCTGTATCAGCCCTGTGCCTCTGGCCTGACCCACAGGCTGCGGAGCGCAGTTCCCATTGTGCCAGAACCCACCCTGGCCAAAGCTGTCTGCTGTGGCCTCTTCTCGGCCATGAGCAGGGTGCTGTAGCCTTGAACCTCAGCTCTACACAAGAACAAGGGGCGCCATTGGTTCAGTTCCGGCCAGGACCAGCCTGGCTTCCTGCACGCTGAACAACCCCGGAGCTCCCCTTCCTAGGTCCCAGCTGATGTCACAGCTCGCTCATTAAGTTATTGCCCCTGGAGATCATCTTAAGGGCCACTTTTGGGGTACCCTACGTATTTGTTACACCTAATGTGTTTTTTGTTTTTTTTTTCCTTCTCCTCCCTGGGTCTCGGCAACAGGAGGTTGAGAGAAAGGAGTGAGACCAAGTGGAAGAGAAGAGGCCCATAGCTCAAGCCCGGAATTAGCAAGAAGGCCTAAAGGTGCAGCGGTTGCGGGGGGGTGGGGTGGTGGCGGGGGGTGGACGGCGGACTACTTTCTCTCTGCAGCCCGGCTGCGGGAGGATATGGCTTTATTCGTCATGCGTTTTGCTACTTGGCCGGGACTTGGTGGGCGGGGCGACCCTGGCTCCGGGCCGCTGCCGGGGGCGGGCGGGAGAGTGGCTGTTGTGGGGTTCTCAGGCAGAGGAGGGCTGTGACCCTGAGCCTCCTGGCTGGTTCCCCATGCCCCCGTCGGACTATTTCTTGGGGTGTGGTTTGTTCCCCAGGAGCACGTCGATCTCCGTCACTGTCTGCGGAGTCAGGTGGCTGAGCACCTGCAGAACAGAAGGGGGCGGATGGGGGGTGAGAGGGCAGTATATGCAGGGTCACCAGAAAGGGCAAGGGGCTTGAGGACCGAGGGAGGCACCACAGCGGAACCAGCTGGCAAGGAGGGAGTGGCGGCTGTGCATCTGTCATCCCTGGTCGCCAGCCAAGTGATGGCTTTGTAGTGGATGACCCCCCCACGGTCATCCTGAATTGGACAGCACAGCAAGGCCGTGACTTCTGGGAAAGTGGACAGATGGGCTCTGGCCTGTCATCGACTCACCTGCAGGGCGCCTAGGTGTTCTATCAGCTGTTCTGCATTTGACACCCCCAGCAAGACGGAGCTGACCCCCTCACTGCGGAGACACCAGGCTGAAGCCAAAAGAGAAAATACAGAACTGATGGGAACAGGAAGCGCACAGGCTTTGGTAGTGCTAGAAGAAAAGGGTCTTCTCTTGAGACCACTGGGACTCAGGGTAGGGTTGCAAGCAGGCAGGGGCCAGGCTGGCCCTGTCTCACCGATAGCCAGCTGTGCCGCAGTGCAGCCCAGCTGGTTGGCAATGGGGAGGAGGTCCAACACTTTGGCTTGTTGCTTCTTGCCCTCCTCACTGTGCACTCTGTCCTTGAGCCACTGGTAGCCCTGGAGGCCACGGAGAAATCAGCACAAGACATTTCACACCCCCCTCCCACCCTCCCACTCAACACACAGCCGCCCAAATCGCACCTTGAAGCCGGCCCTGCAAGAATCTGGGACCCGCCCATCGTACTTGCTGGTAATGAGGCCACAGGCTAGAGGGGACCAGGTGACAGAGCCCACACCTAAGAGGAAGAGGGAACAGGGTGTGAAGGAGGGGACCACGGCTGCAGGGAGGGGGCGCAGAGGGAAAAGCAGGGATGAAAGAGCTGCAAACCAATCTTGTGGTAGAGCTCTGGCAGCTGCATCTCCACCTTCTCCCTCTGAAAGAAGTGATTCTCGGCTTGCTCACATACTGGAGGGATCAGATTAAACTGTCTGGCCATGGAGTAGGCCTCCTAGGGTTGGGTGGTGGGGGAGAGATGGAGTCAGAGTGGGTTATGTGGGCAGTGGGAACCTAGGATGGTATGGAACAGGGGAGGGGCAATTAGCACACTCACCATGATTTCCGTAGCCCCCCATCGGGATGTGCCCCAGTACAGGGCCAAGCCCTGGTTGATGACATAGGTCATGGCTCGCACAATCTCTAGGCACATGGAGGAGAAGGAATACCTCATTCCTGAGCCCTGGGCTTTCAGAGCTGCAGCCTCCCTCTCCCTCCTGCCCTGCCCAAATCCAGGACAACTCTGTGGTTCACATCTTTTCTTTGCCCCGCCTCCCATCTAAGTTGGGGTGAGAGGCTGCACCTCTACCAGGGGGCTCTGGGAAGGGGTTGGCCTTGCTGCCATGGGCTGGTAGAATTGCTGAGCTTGGAAGGACTGCCAGGTTTAGGGGATGCAGCTTTTACCCTCCATGGGACTATTGGGATCTGAGCGATTGGCAAAGACAATGTCCACGTAGTCCAGCTGGAGGCGTTCCAGGGACCCACGCAAACCTGCAGGTTGGAGTGAGGAGAGAAAGAGCAACTTGACAGTTCCATTTACCAAGAATTCAGCCCTTACCCCCTTATGCACCCTCTGCAACCCCATGCCAGACCTCTATCCCAGGGATTCTGAGAACATTCTCAGTTCCCTTCAGGCTTCCAGATCCAGCCTCATCAACTCCCCAACCCCTAAATTTACCCTCAATGATGTGTTTGCGGCTCAAGCCCCGTTCGGTTTCTGCCCTGTAGAAAAAGACTAGGTGAAAGATAAGAGGGGACAAAGAATATAGAGGACCAGGGCTGGCCTGGAGCCACGGGGAAGGATGTGGACCTGAGTGGTAGCAGGTGAGGGACAGCTGTCCCAACTCCCAGGCATGCACTTGCTTTGTAGGGCTCCATCCTGATCCTAGTGGGCCAGTCACTTACTGTCCTCCCCAAAAAATCTTGGTAGTGATGACATAGCTTGATCTCCTGGGAGAAAAAAAATAATAATAAATGGCAGAAGCAGCAATTCAGAGTTTTGGATAACTGTGTGCCCAGCATCCCCTGACACCCAGGCCCCCGTCCCCACCATTATCTCACCTCCAACCTTTACTTTTGAGGATGTTGCCCAGGGTTCTTTCAGCTCTGGAAGAAAGACATGGCAGAGGCACTGACCCCCTCCAAGCAGGCTCAGTTCCTTCCCTCCCCGCTGTCCCCTTGTTCCTCTCGGGAGGTGGAGCGAAAGCAGGAGCCCATGTAGTCTCAGTGCCATCCCACAACGAGGGCTGTGGTCAGTGATTTGGTTTTCCTTCCTTCACTTAAACAGCTGATGTGTATCAGCTGTGGTCCAAGCCATGCTGGGGTGTTAACGGGCTGCAGTAGGTTGAGGGGAGAGGCAGGGACTGGAGGGGGAAAGGGTGCTAGGGAGGACACTGCTTTCCTCAGCTGGGAGCCTCTGCAAAAATCCCACCCATCCTCCTCCATGCTGTTTGGATTATACATCAGGCATGAAATGTCTTCTGACCACCGCAGGCTGTGGTCATTTCTGCCTGTCAGCTTCAACAGAATTGGGGACACATTCTTTAGCATGCAATTAGGAGCTAACCGTGATGAGCCCTGAATCGTTAGACTGTGACTATCAATCATTGTATCTTCCTGGTTTGTTTAACCACTCAGCATATGCACATTTTGGGAAACATGTGGATTTCATTACCGAAGCATGACTATTCTTTGATGGGCTACAGCTAGGTACTTGGGGGAAGGGCAAGACATATTCCAGGGAAGGAGGGACCTCTGAGTTAGGCAGGGAATAATAGCATCATGAGCAAACAATTGTGCATCAAAGTCAGTATCACGTGTTAGGGGGCTCCTAAGGGGTGAAGGCCAGTTTGGGGGAGTTGAGCAAGGCTTCCTGGAAGAACTTTTTGAGCCAAATCCTGCAGATGAGCAGAGGTGTTGGCCAGTTGTTCTCTGCTTCCCTCCTAGTCCAAGCCTATCCCAGGGCTTGGCTGCCCCAAGGGCGAAGTCACAGATGTGTGATGAGGCATGCAGTACTTGAAAACTCAACCTTGTAGTCCTCATGTAGTCATTCTTTGTTGATGCTCAGGACATTTGCTATTTATTGTGACTACACTGGATGCCCGGGGACCTCTAAGTCAGAAAGGTACAGAGGCTGAACCTACAACTCCCAGAGTGCTTTGGGTGCCCCTAGGCTAAAAGATTGCAATGGAGTGGTCTCAGAATTCCCAAGGTTCTCCAGGGGGAAAAATGAAGACGCGCTGGTGTTGTGCCAACCTTCCAGCCAGTTCTTACTTTCCTGCCGCGTACACCTCGGCAGTGTCAAACAGGTTTATGCCATGCTCGTAAGCTAATGTCAGCACATCCTCTGCCGTCTAGGGAAGTGAGAGAAGAGGTGAAGGTCAACCACTTACCCCTCCATCACCTCCTTCCCCATGCTCATTGCCAGGGCAGATCTATATCCCACTTTTTCTGGTTCTGTCACCACCACCCACCAACCAGCCCTTCTTAGGTCTTCTCACTTATACCTCGTCTGAGATTTGAGACCCAAATGTGACCCAGGTACCTGCAAAAAGGAGAAGCCAGGCCCATGAGAACCTCAGGGGCCAGACCAAAGAAAAAAAGTCCCTTCCCCAAATTCCTACTGCAACTCACCCAGGCCAAGACAGGACACCCGCAGACCAGACTTCCCCAGGTTCCTGCAGAATACAGAAGCAGCAAGAAGGGGAGGAGCCCGTTTGGGACCTAGAGAGGTAGCCCCAGCTCCTGTCCTTCCTGTCTTCAGGATGCCCTAGTCCTAAGGAACTAGATCCAGCAGGCCTGCCTGTGTTGTGGGGCAGTGACGTACTCGCGGCCCTGGGGATAGTGTTGACGGAATAAACGAGCAGATATGTGCCTCCTGCTGGAGCCGTTGTCCGGTCTTCGTTTCCTCCCATCACACTGCAGGTGTGCTCTGTGGTCTGTCTGATGGGTGAGGTCTTGTCTGAATTTGCGTCATCTCTGGGATGTGGGAGGGGGTGGGCTGGGAAGAATTTGGCTGGATGTGGTGAATTTATGAGAGAGAGAAAATGCTAAGCTAAAGGGCAATGCCAGTGTGGAAGAGGTAAATCAAATCAAGCTCAATTTCAGGCACTCAGGCAAGGGTCCCTGGCTTGGCAGATAGGAGTCTAGTGGGGAGTATGACTGACTGCTGGTTCTGCCCCTGCTGCTGTTGGCTCAGAACCAGGGAGCCCCTATTTGGACAGTGGTGGGTTCAGCTCCCTAGTCATGGCCATCACATGGAGGGGATTTGATTCCTCGGGTGCCACAGCTAGGTCAGCGCAGTGACCTTGGCTCACTCCCACATAGAAGCCCCCTCCTCCTACCCTCCCACCTTCCCCTCACAGTGAGCTTCAAGGAACCCTAGCCAGCCAGTCCCCTGGGATAAAGTGGTAACATTTTCCAGCACCTTCTCCACCAGCCTCTGGCCCTCCATGGTTGTGTGTGGGGATGAAAGCTGCGATCTTTCCTTCTCCCCAGCCCAAAGGCTGGGCCCTTGGGGCAGGTAGGGCAGTATCTGGGTCAGGTGCCCTGAGCCTGCAGCCTGAGGGAGAAGCTGTTTTCCTCCCTCCAGTCCCCAGGACATGACCCAAGGACATTCCACTGGAGGTGGGGGAGCAGGTACAGCCTGGAGAAGGGGCAAATCCCTAGTCTTCCTAGGGGTACTGACAGTGGCTCCGGGCATCCTAAAGTCTGACTGGTCCTAATCAATCTTGATAAACTTAATTTTCTCACAGGGAGAGACTCAAAGAGGGGATCAGGTCAGACAGTGCCCCAGACAGGAACAAGAGACTGAACCCAGATCTTCCAGAAGTTTGAAGGGGTCTTGGTGGCCATCCCAGGAAGCTCCCAGTAGTGCCGAACAGGGCGGGCTGCCCGGTGCCCTCCCCCAGCTCCCCATACCTGTACTTCATGCCAGTGCCTCGGCCGGTGCTCTCTCGGAGGGCCCCAGCGGGCGCTGGGGGTCGAGGGACCAGTGCCACTCGGGCCTTAGGGCCCGGCCCTCCACTGCCTGGCGGATTCCCGTGTCCCCCACCGACCGGCCCGCCATTACCGCCCCCGGGGCCAGGCCGGGGTCCGCACAGACGGTCTTCGCTGCTCCGGCTGCGAAGGTTCTGCTCGGTGCAAGCGATAGACACCTGCATGCCGGCCGGCCAGGGCGGGGGAGGGGGCTCCGAGGGGACCAGGGGAGCCCGCGGACGGACGCCCGGTGAGGCGGCGTGGTGCGAGCTCGGCAGAGAGCGGGAGGGCCGGGGAGGCTGCGGCGGGGAGCCGCCAGTTAGATCAGGCCCGCGGGGGCGGACTGTTGGAGGTCGCGGGGTTTGAGGCGGGAGCCGAGAAACGCGGTGGTGGTGAGGGGCGCCCAGGAGTAGAGAAATTCAAATAAGGGGGCGCTGGCGCAGGGAGGAAGGGGGTGAAGGTCGGGGGCCGTCCTCGGAGGGTAGGAACTCAGCAACGGGCGGTGTGGGGGGTGGTGGCAGCAGAAGGATGCCACTTCTGCCCGAACCGCAGCAGGACCCGCCGGGCTGCCAGCCGCGTCTGCAGCTGGCCCAGCTCATCAACATGCAGGCGCCGCCCCCTCATCTGCATAGAGCCGCCTGCCCGGGACCCACAGCTTATCTGCATGAGCCCCTCCTGTGGATGCTCGGAGGGGCAGTTCCTAGCTGGGTCCTCACCACACCTTGGGGGACCCTAGGCAGGTCAGCTTTCCCTTTGTCCAGGGGCTCTCGATGGGTTGGGAGGGATTTTTGTCCACTAAGGGACATATGCTAAGGCTTGGACACACTGTGATTGTTAGGATTGTGGAGGGACCAGGCATGTGTGACATCCAGGGGATGCAAGTGAAAAACCCTACAAAACATAAACCTGCTCCTACAACCCAGCATCCTCCAGCCTGACATGCCAGTGGTGACCCTGTGGAGAAGCCCATTGTACCAAGCGTTTTTGGGGGTACATCCACCCACATACTCATGTTTCTGAGTGGGGCAGGACTGGGAAGGCCCATAAGCCAACACACGTGGGCTGTACAGGGTGACAAACACTTTATTTTGTGCGTTTCACAGCGGCGGGCAAGGCCAAAACTGAAGAAAGGACCTGGTTTAGGAGTGTAGGGATGTCTGTGGGCCTCCTTCTGGTGATTCTTGGGGAGCTACCAGGGCATGTTTTTAGGGCTACAGGCCTGGGATGCAGGGGCGGGGAGTCCCCAGATGGATCAAGATTCTCCTGCTGATTAGGGTGGAGGTAGGTTGCTTCAGCCAGCCCGGGCTGAGAAGAAGGGCAGAGAACGTACATAGGAGTCTAGGCGGGAGTGGAACAGCTCACTCTGCACCGTCTGACCAAGGGGGCACAGTGGGTTCTTCACCACCAGCTCCACGTACAGCTGTGGGGAGGAAGGGACTTAAGAACCCAGCTTTGGAGATGCCTCCTTTCCACTCCCCCCAACGTGGTGTGACCTCAGAGGTGTGTGACCCCACACAAAGCACCAGCTGAGAGGGGAGGAGGGATGCATGGCGGTGCCCAATGACCCACCCTCCCTCCACCCCAGGAAACTGATTTCAACAGTAGGAGTTGACAAGGGAAGCTGGTGACCCCCAGGGTTGTTCAGGGGCTTTGGGGAGCAGGACCCTGGGGCCAGCACTGACCGCGCTATAGATGTGATGTAACACATCTCTGATGGGTCCCACACCCAAGTCGGTATTCATGACCACCTTGATCCCAGTGGGCGTCTCGTAGTAGTGGAGTTTGTAACGGCTAGTTTGGAAGGCCAGAAAGCCGTCCTTCCTGTAGAGATGATGAGGAGGAGGCTGTTAAAAAGGGGGAGCCCTCCCCAAGAGAAACTTGGGATCCCCTCAAGGCCCTCCCCCTTCTTGATCTCAGCATGGCAAGACATGGTAGGAGGCTGGGTCAACACACCTCCCATCCACATCCCTCCAGTTATCCCACACCCAAGCTCTCCACTTTGAGACCTGCCCCACCCCACCCCTTGCAAGGCCAGCCCTCCTTGCCACACCCGGACCCTGCCTACATGTCTAGCGGGGACATCTTGCTGACAAACGAGCGGATGGAGAAGAGCATCCCATACATCAGCTTGTACTCCTGCAGGGAGAGGGGGACAGTTACTCTCAGTGGCTGAGAGAGACAGACGGGGTGGGGACTAGCCAGGGTTTGGAGCAGCGGGGCTCGGCCTCTGTGCAACTGGAGATGCGAGGTCCCTCCCGGGCCCTCTTGTCACCTCTTCCTTGGGGATCCCTGCTTGCTTCTTGCGGTGCCACTCGCTGTAGTGCAGACACACTCCATTGCGGTCAAACAGGTACAAGTTGTGCACGGTCATCTGCAAGGCCAGGGGTGTGTGTGCTGGGGGAGCCTCCCTCCGGGACCGCCCCGATCCCGTGCACCAAGGTTCCCAGCCCCCAGATCCATTTCAAACAGGTGGTGATCGGGGGACCCCCACCGCAGGACTCACCGGAACTGCTGAGGGCCCTTCCCGGGCTACTTCCGGTTTCCGAGACGACCCCGCCTTCTCCGGGTCCCTCAAGCTACCGAGACGGAGCTTTAACTCCGCCTATGACTCCGCCTCCCCCTCTCTCAGCCAATCCGTGGCCTTCGAGACCGCGCACGTGCGCCCAGGCCTCCTCAGGCTCCGGAGCGGCTGCGTGCGCGTGGGCGCGCAGGCTGGTGACGTCATCGCGGCGAAAGGGGCGGGGCTGCCAACGGTTTTGAGTGGCGAGGACGGCGGGAGCCGGGCAGGAGGGTGGCGTCGGTCCTGTGGCTTTGCGGGGCTGGGCTCGGGGCAGGGGGCGATCACGTTCTTCACCTTGGCGAGCTGAGGAGCAGAATCGTGGGGAATAGTCGCCGTGGGAAGGACGGTAGTTAGAGTGAGGGTCTCCGGCTAGGCCTGGGGGCGGCGTCTGAGTGAATGACTGGGGGCTCTCAGGGGTTTCTTTTGGAGAGGCGGCGAGGGGGATTCTAGGGAGCCCTTGCTACAGCTTTCCTACCCGGAGGGATCAAGGGGGATTTACAAAGGAGTTACCTGGAGATACAGCGGTGAAGGGGACCGGGTGAGGTTCCTGCCTCCTCCCGGAAAGCCGTAAAACTGTGAAGGGGGCCCATGAGGCAGCTAGACCGAAGCCCTGCCGGGTGGTCTAACTTGAATTCAGTTTGTACATCCTGGGGGTGAGAACTGAAGGGCAGGGCTGACGGTGTGGGTGGCAGGGGCTGCAGGTGGATGTGAAGAGGGGGAGCCTGCAGAGGCGCTGCTTGCCTCTGTGGCCCCTCTTCCTTGCGCCTTCCTTCCTGAGAGCTGGGAAGGAGTGTGCTTTTCCCCTCCATGGGATTTGGAACAGCTGGGAACCTTTGCTGTCACCAGAAAGCCTCCACAGCCTTCTCCCCGAAGGATCCTTGGTGTGGAGTCTTCCTCCTGCCTCCCTCCAGATCCTCCTTGTCTGTGAACAGATGCCCTGTGCCCTCCGTGAAGTGAAGCCAGGCGTTGCCAACCTCCTGCCATCTCTGGCTGTTCCTGCCCTTTTCTCATGGCCTCCTCAGCCCCCAGTTCACCACTCCGCTCAGAGGATCTCCTAAGTGAGTCGTCAGAAGCCCCCGCGCCGAACCAGGTGTCCTCTGAGGTGACAGCCCAGTTGTACACTTCCCTGCACCTGAGCCGGCAGGCGGAGGCCACAGCCCGGGCCCAACTCTACCTACCCTCCACTTCCTCGCCTCCCCCCGAGGCCTTGGACGGCTTGGCCCAAGAGCTGAGCCGCAGCTTGTCAGTTGGATTGGAGAACAACTTGAAGAAAAAGGTGAGGGATGTGTGTGTCTTGAAGGATACCTCCCCCCTCTCCCTCACCCTCCCCGGCTGCCACAGTATCAGACACCAGAATCTTGGAACTGGAGGCAGTCAAAACAAATCGGCTTTGCTGAGATGTGTCAGCTGAGCTCCGTACTCCTGTTGTCCTGCTGTCAGATGGTCTATAAGTACATGGTGGCCCTCTTTCATTCCTTGGGGGCACATGTTGATGAGTGAGAGAATGATCCAGAACACTGTCATTTGGAAACTTGTGCAACACCTTAATATGTTTTGTCAGAGACACCTGCATTTGCAGGGGTTAAGGGACAGATCAGTGCATCGGGACCAGGACCTGTATGGGGATTGAGGGGAGTAGTTTCTTGGGCTCAAAGGGAACTGGGAACTGAAAGATTGAGGCACCATAGGCTAAGATCCTTATAGCTCAAAGCCAATTTTGAGTATATGGCTCAAGCTTTGGATCGGTAAAAACATAGTTTAATCAAAGCCAGACATTATGAAGAAGATAGTGGTTAGTGTGGGATGGAAGAGGTATCACAGTCAGCAGACGGGCCAGGTCTTCCAGAGTTCAGCCAGGGGCTATGCCATCTCTAGGGTGTTTGCTGGTTGCTGTCTGCTTAAGAATGATTGTTGCCCCTTTGGTCTTGTGCCCACCCACTTGACGCATTCATGCATCTTTTTGGTTTCTGCAGGCCTGTGGACACTGAGTCAAGGTTCAGGCCACGCTTCTTGGGTCTGTTTTTTTTTTTTTTAAGATTTATTTTATTTTTATTGAAAAGTCAGATATATAGAGAGGAGAAGAGACCAGAGAAGAGAAGAGAGGAAAATCTTCCATCCGTTGATTCACTTCCCAAGCGGCTGCAATGGCTGAAGCTGAGCCAATCAGGAGCCAGGAGCCTCCTCCAGGTCTCCCACATGAGTGCAGGGTCCCAAGGCTTTGGGCCATCCTTGACTGCTTTCCCAGGCCACAAGCAGGGAGCTGGATGGGAAGTAGGGCTACTGGAATTAGAACCAGCTCCCATATGGGATCCCTGAGCATGCAAGGCAAGGACTTTAGCCTCTAGGCTACCTTGCTGGGCCCCTTGGGTCTGTTTTGTTTTGCTTGTTCTTCCAGGTGCACGAGTAAAACTTTTTTTTTAAAAGATTATTTTTATTGCAAAGTCAGATATACAGAGAGGAGGAAAGACAGAGAGGAAGATCTTCCATCCAATGATTTACTCCCCAAGTGACCGCAATGGCTGGTTCTGTGCCAATCCGAAGCCAGGAGCTTTTTCGGGTTTCCCATGCAGGTGCAGGGTCCCAAGGCTTTGGGCCATCCTCCACTGCTTTCCCAGGCCACAAGCAGGGAGCTGGATGGGAAGTGGGCCTACCAGGATTAGAACTGGCACCCATATGTGATCCCAGTGTGTTCAAGGCGAGGACTTTAGCCACTAGGCTACCACGCTGGTCTCAGGAGTAAAACTTCTAAGAATCTGGGCATAGGTAGACGACAAATGGTCCCCCAACTGTGTGTTATTTCAAAGTGGCTTTTGTTCTAGGATGGTTCTAAGCACATCTTTGAGATGGAGAGTGTTCGGGGTCAGCTGCAGACCATGCTCCAGACCTCTCGCGAGACAGCCTATAGTAAGTACCACTTGCCTTGAGCTGGGAGGGAGAGAGAGCCTTCGAGGCAAGCACTGAGAGATGAGAGCAGGAAGAGGAGGAATCTTCCAGAAGTGGCTCCTATCACAGTGGGAGGAGGAAAGGGGAGACAAAGGAAGGTGCTCCTCTCCTCCCTGAGTGGTCTCTGTCCCCATCCTTACCCGACCCTGCCTGTGGGATCCCTCTGGCTGCTGCAAGAGATCCCCTCACTCCAGGTGCTGCCCTAGAGAGACGGGATGAAGATTCCTTCGACAGTGACAGCACAGCCACCTTACTCCAGTGAGTTCTTCCTGGGCTCTTCCCATCTTCTAAGAATTTGCTTCCTGGAGCCAGCGCAGTGTCCTAGCAAGCTAATTCTCCACCTGTAAACACCAGCCTCCCATGTGGCCAGCAGTTTGTGTGTCCCAGTTGCTCCACTTCTGATCCAGGCTGAGAAAACAGTGGAAGACGACTCAAGTCCTTGGGCCCCTGCACTCATGTGGGAGACCTGGAGGAAGCTTCTGGCTTTCAGTTGGCTCAGCTTCAGCCATTGAGGCCATTTGGGGAGTAAACCAATGGATGGAAGACCACTGTCTCCCCTCTGTCTATTAAAAAAAAAAAAAAATCTGCCTTTTAGATAAAAATAAGTCTTGAAAAAAAAAAGTTCTCTTCCGTAGTTCTCCAGGCACCGATTTGGTGACTATAAAAGCCTAAAGCTCCCAGTTGTCACTCTTTCCTGTCTTCTACCTTGTTTACTCCTCCAGGGACTGGGTTTCTGCTGCCAGAACTTGGCTGTGTCTCAGCCTCCAGTTGTCCTCCTTTCAGAAGAAACCACTCTGTTTCTGTGGAGATTTTTATTCCAGAATGTGCTATAGCCCAAGGCCAGGGAGCTTTTACAGCCAGGGCCCATTTGAATGTTTATAATGTCATTCGCAGGATATGCAAAATTATTGACTTAAACATTAGCCTATGGTTAAGTTTATGGAGTTTCTTGTCCTGCCTGCTATTGCCTTGGCAGGGCCAGACCAAATGACATTGAAGCTATCACACAGCCTGCAGGTCAACATTCCTCACTCCTGCTACAAAGAATTAAAGCATTATAAGCATCTTAGAGTGACCCACCAACCTATCTTTTTAGTTTTTTTAAAGATTTATTATTTGAGAGGAAGAGTTAGAGAGAAGGGGGAGAGATAGAGATCTTCCATCCATTGGTTCTCTCCCCCAAACGGCTGCAACTGCCAGGGTTATGCCAACCTGAAGCTAGGTACATCTGGGTCTCTGACTTATCTGTTATAAGTGGGTGACAGGGGTCCAAGGACTTGGGCCATCCTTTGCTGCTTTCCCAAGTGCATTAGCAGGGAGCTGGATGGGAAGTGGCATGCTAGGCCACCACCAGGCACTCCTATGGGATGCTGGTGTCACAGGCTTAACCTGCGCACCAGCCATGCTGGGGCTCAGTAGTTCCTTCATGTGTAAGATACTACTGTTGGACTGGTGCATTGCCAAAGCTCCCCTGGCTCAAACATTCTCTGATTGGCTCAGTACACGGCCCCTGCAAGACTTCCCTTCACCCAGCTCGGCGCAGGCTCTAGAGGAGTTGTTCCCTCGTTACACCAGCCTTCGGCCTGGACCCCCACTCAATCCTCCGGACTTCCAGGGGCTGAAAGATGCGCTGGATTCAGAACATACCCGCCGCAAGGTAAGAGCTGGAGGTTTCCTTTGGAAAGCAGTGGAGATTAGAAACCAGGAACTTGAGAGCTGGAAAGAGCAGAGGGTTAAGAACCTAAAACCTGGATTTTGTCCAAAGGTTTCTAAATGGTTTCTTCTTCTTCTTCTTCTTCTTTTTTTTTTTTTTCTTTAAGATTTATGTTTTTGTTTGGAAAGGCAGATATACAGAGAGAAGAAGACACAGAGAGGAAGATATTCCGTCTGATGGTTCACTCCCCAAGCGGCCACAGCGGCTGGAGCTGAGCCAGTCCAAAGCCAGGAGCCAGGAGCTCTTCCGGGTCTCCCGCGCAGATGCAGAGTCCCAAAGCTTTGGGCTGTCCTCAATTGCTTTCGCAGGGAGCTGAATGGGAAGCAGGGTGGCCGGTATTAGAACTGGTGACCATATGGCATCCCAGTGTGTGCAAGG